CGTGCAGTCTCTCTTTCAAAGACCTCTTTAAGCCAAGCTAGGCCTATATCATTGTTAGTCCATCTAGAGGGCGATGAGGTAACAAAGACTGAGTGCTTGTTTGGATTAATAGCCTCTACCCAGGCTGATTTTAGAGCTCCAGCATCTGACTGAAAGATGAGAGATAGAGAAAGAGGTGTACCATCTGAGCAGATACAGGCTAGGACTGTAATCCACTCTCTAGAGCCATCTTGTAGGCTTGAAACAACTCCTCCTCTTTCATATTGCCTCTTACTAAAGATCCTTTTAGACCTTCTAAGGATTCTAAGTAAGAAGCCCTTTTCATCCATATTAAAGATGTGAGAGGGCTGTATATTGTACTCCTTCATCTTATTGTGTAACAGCTCAAAGTATAACCTATACTTAGTTGCTAAATCAGCCTTGTGACGCTTCTAGTCTATAGGACTCTGCCAGCGAGAGATGAGATAAGAGGAGTTCCTGCAGAGGAACCTAGAAACCCAGCGTTCTAAAACGTCTCTACCAAGCAAGGATGACGCAAGATGGCGTATTATTAGACGCGAAGGTGGTGTACGCCTCTTAGTAAGGGATTTAATGTACTGTACAAGCTCTTTTTCGCGTTATAGGTGGATAGAGAGGTAGGCGAGCGCGCGAGGCTAAGTTTTGCCTTAGTGTCTTCGAGCGAGCGTACGATAGCTAATGCTAAACCTTTTTACAACTTAGCGATAGCTAAAAGATGCGCCTAGTTCGCGCGATTTAATTTCTTCAATCGCTTCCTAAATTAGGTCCATATTAGTGGAGTTATGAGGTATTTTGTGTAGGTGTTGAGTTTGGTGGAGTGGGTCATTGCGCGTCCTGGGTCATTGCGCGTCCATGCAGGTTAACCCGCTGGGCCAAGATCTATAGATCGGCTACCAATACCCCACCACTATCTTAGTATGGAGACTGCGGACCACCTAGTTCGCAAGACATCACGCGCTAAGACACAGCCAAAACTACGTGAGATACCTACTTCCCAACGATATTTCTGGCAGGATGAGCTTAGCCATCACGTCGCGTAACAAGTCCGCGACAAAACCCACGACGGGACCAACGATCGCTTGCTACTCCCCAACGAGATTGACACGCTAGCCTTGAACGAAATCGCTGTGTTGCGGGGTGCTGGCTTCTTTATGTTTTTACTGAATTGGAATAGCTGGAGTAAGCAGGTGTTTGATCTGAAAAGTCGTGGTCCTGAACCCGACAGCCTAAGGTACGTATACCCTCTCTACTGTTTTAGTTGACTCTGATAATCCAATAGGGCATTGGTTCCTTCTCTCATATTCATGAGGTACACATGGGGCCAGGATGCTCAGGCCGACTACTTTCGAACGTCCCACCGATCGCGCTTTATGTCTTGCGACTTTTTACTCAACCCCCCTCCAAAAGCCACGCCGCTGTACTGCATACAACTTGCCTCGGACTCTAGATACCCACTCTACTTGACAGAGCAGATCTCCTTTATAATACTACGCGCGGTTCCGCTGTACTTTGGCAAAACTGCAGAGCTTGGCGCCATTATTGGTTAACCTACCCGCAAGCGCAAAGGAGCTGATTCTGGACAGCGACTTGGTCAACCACGAGGTATTTGGGATAGCGGACCCAAAAACGAGCGGCTGGAACGGTTCTAATAATTGACGCTGGAGAGCCTTTACGACGCTATTGTGGCTGCCTGTCACCCTGCAGCGACGCTGTCAAGTATGACGTCTGAGCAGCTCTGTCGATTGCTCCCTCGACTATCACAACTAGAACTGGGCATTAATTTAGGATTTGACTCTTTTCAGCCTCGCTCAAGAATAGATGGCCGTCTGCACTGATTACTGCCGGTAAAAGCCGAGTCACTACATTAAGTAGACGAGCAATGAGGCTATCCTTTCCTGAAAAAGGATTACTTTGCACAACTGTGAGCGGTTTATGCTTTAGTTTACAGTTTTTAGAGCGTATGTACCTATAAAACGAGATCCTCTCCTTCTTTTGGAACATAAATGCACTATATGACGCTCTATTATCGTCACTTACGCCTTTTCTCTTCTCTCTCGCACAACAACTGGGGTCGCAGACACTTACAAAATGATCTGGTTCGGCGGTGTTTGGTGGTGTTAGATACTGTTGTTATGATAGCACCACGCTAGAGTAAGACTCATAACCCTCCAATCGCTAGACAAATATAGAAAATGACATGTTTACAATGTCTATGTTACTAGAACTTGTCCCTTGAATTAGACATGGTGCATTTGTTTGATGTGAAACATATAACACAAAGCGCACGCAAGAGACATGTAATTGTTTCTCTTGTAGCCTTGAAACATGGACTTACAATAATTAAAGACTTAATATAGTTAACCATCTTGTTGACAAATTTAATTAGCAAAATGAGTGGGCACTACTATAATGTCCTCCTTCACCCATCCCCCTCTCTTCGCCGAGCTAGTCCCACTGTCTCTATATGCACACTCGTCAACACTTCTACCGTCGAACATGCGGTACGTAAGAATTGCTAAAGATGGTGAGCACGAGCCAAAAGCCAGGCTCGTTCAATTCACGTTTGGTGTTATTGCTGGACGTTATTGCCTATCCTTTGGTACATCTCGATCAAGCGACTATATGCTGCCTGTGTCCAATGGAGTAGCATCACACCACTTTATTCTATTCTTGAATGTGTACAACCACTATCTTTAACTAAGATCCACATGCGCTGAAGGTGTTCATGCCATATCTCATATCCAAGAAGAAATTCACGTGGCTGCTCCGAATGATACACTTATAATCCTTGCTCTAATAACGGTTAGGATCGGGAAAGGACCTGGCATCGAATTTAAGGTTCTTCCGCCAGTTGATAGCAGCAAATATCACGCGTGCTTGTTGGCATATCTCTTATCTATTTAATCACATCTTGCAGCGTCTTACGAGTTCTCACATGCAGACTTAACACAGCTAATTTCTAGAAAGAGACAAAGATTACTTGTGGGGCTTTCGGAAGCGAAACACCATAAGCGCTGACGCCATGCTTCTTCTATTCTAGCTAAACATAATGCAGAGTTACTTTCTCCTCAAATTTTACCCTAGCGTCACCAACTAACTGTAGGCTGGTTCTTAAGCATTCTGCAAAATTTGAAGCTTGCTTGGGGATAGAAGAGGGTAAAACTTTAGTAGAGTCACGATATAATAGAAATGCAACTGTCATTTGTGTTACATTACTCATCTCGGTTGCACATGTGTAACAATAATTTATCGCATCTTGATTTTACCTGATATCTTAAAATTATTGCACTATCCGCTAACGTTCAGCAGACTTATAATGGGTAATGACTACGACTGCTAACCTCTTTCAAAAATATCTTCTTTTATCATTCGGCGTTGTGGCGCGCGATTTGAAGCCGAACTATTTGCAGCTATCTCTGAGTGTCCTTTTATTATCCGGTCTTTTGAGTTTGCACCTGCCGATGGGGCAATTTTCGCAACTGCTAATGCTGCACCCCTAATAGGAACCCTGAGTGAGCGGTTTTGGCAGCTCAATGAACATGTGCGCAGGTATCGCCATGCAGTTGAAGACTCTGAACGACGCTTGGTGCTGTTCGATGCGAAGAGCAAGATATCTGCCAAGGCTGAGGACCAGATATACACCACCCCAATAACGCAGAGGGGCAGAGTCGCGTTTTATATCGGGATCTGTGCTGCTAATCCTGAATACGTAGACCTGATCCCAAACTACCGCGCCAGGACTTCAATAGCCAACGAGGAGAGTCGCAACGTTGCCGTCAACATCTCGCGGAAATCACTTCTACCACCTTCAGCGTATGGCTCTCTGAGTCCATGTAACAGCCCCTATCGAATGCCTCTCAGCCTCCTCCCGGAAGCACTTGCATGTATTCAGCGATGTGCTCAAGATCGAGGTACTTATCGCAATCCCTGGACTCGCGTCACATTTCCCGACTGGACTCCGTATGCCGAACATGGAAACGATGGACTAGTCCCAGAAGAATCGTCTCAGCATTTCACCTCCTTCAAAGGCCTTGTAGAGTTGTGGAGAGGCATACGCGTAGCGAAGAGGGTCCACGGAATACCAATGGACTTTGACTTCATGTGGCTGCAGCCACGCCTAGCCGACTTCAAGCTTCTAGTCCCATACGTGCCAAGCGGTACACAACGTCGGCAGTTATTTGTCCAATATAAGATTGACGGGTTATATCGCTCACCTGCTTCACCACTGACGAAGGTGGCTATTGCCCGCAACGGTCGGAAGGGTCAGCTTAACTACTACTTCAATGGGCATGAGCGGTAAGGTTTAGCATCTCTGTAGAGTGGAACCATAATAACATATACCAGGTTCGACTATCTCTTATACCAATTTGACTATCAAGACCGACAGAGGTTGGCATGGACACAGTTCTTTTTTATACCCGAAAAGGTACTTCCAGACGAGTTCTACACGACAAAAGCAAAGGATGCTAGCTTTGATCGGGAGGATTTCAAGCCATATTGCATTACTCTAGACGATACTGGAGAACGGGTAAAAAAGGTTTACAGTATTATACAAGCTACACAAAATCCACGTCAACTTGGCAGTCGACCTCAAAGACCTTCTCAGAGCCGCCTCAAGGACACCGCATCTGAACCTGAAGACATGAGCACACGTCCATTTCCTGTTCCTTCTACGACAAGGCTAGAAGAGTTTGCATCCAAACTATTCTATACCATCATAGCCCACTGTGCTGCTCGTCGCTCTGGTCTTCTCTTGGTGCTGTCGCGTGGGCATCCTTTCGGAGACTTGGCTTATTGTCGATATCGATGGACGAGGCGACAACAAGAAGCCTTCTTCGCCAGCAAATCGCTACCTTGTACAATAACACAACTACCCCCCAACACTCCTATTGTACCATTTCATCTGTACTCCAGGAGCCAGGAAGTCACGTCTCGGGGCCCTAGGCTTACAACAGCCGAGTTTCACAGACTCAACGAAAGTCCTCAATACCGACTGCTAGTATTCGACATTTTTAGTCAGGAAGGGCAAGGTATTCATGGCCCTCTGCTAATCATACCGAGTAGCGATATTAGTCCAACACAACTGCAACTTGATTTGTATAACTCCAATCGAAAACTCAACAAACACGAGGACTTTGAGGAACGGGTGCCATTACTTGCCGAACTCATACACACTGGTCTCAACCCACTCGACTACATCATGTGTTCGGGCGGCCCACGTGTGTTAGCGGACCAAGCTAATACTTGGGACGAGCTTTGGGTACTTCTTGATAATTTTGCTGGAGTCAAGGATGTTATGCATCCGCCAGGTTACTATCGCCAAACTGGTAATTTCCGAGTTACTATTCAGGTTCTCCACCAGATCTTGGTAGAGAAGCATGCGCGCATCTTGGCTGAGCCAATGCCCTTCTTGAGGATGGAAAATGAAGAAGAGTATGACTAGACTTGCAAAACTTTGAATACAGTTCTTTCAATGTTCAGTTTGATACCAAACATCAATATGCCAAAAGTATTATGACCATTGCGAACTGTTCAGTATGAACTTTTATCCATATTATTTCTTCTTCCCCTTTCCCTTTTTTGGTTCTTCTGCCGTGCTGGCTCACTGAGATCCCACCAATTTTGCTCACCACTTGCGCTCCCATCGGGGATAAAGAGTCCAAGCATTGTGTCTCCATTCTCAATTAAGCTCTTCTCGAGACCTGCAACCGACATCTTTAGGGTTTTTGTGTGCGTTCTGAGATAGCCGACAAGTCGCTCGTGGTCCCCGTTTGGTATATTGGCTAAATTTCGAGCCAAGGCTTTGTGACGTGATATTGTCATAGCAATGTCAAACTGATTTGAGTAATGTAGCGAGTTAACAGCATCCAGGCGAAGGCCCATGCCATGCACAAGATCATGATATCGCTTTGCGGTATGTTGCCAGCATTCATGGGCCAGAGATGCGACTTGTACAAGAAGGACACCTCTATTGCGCTCAATTTTGGGAAGAAATCTCTGTCCTGGCTCCCAGCTGTATTCCGATCGAACTAGATCCGCGAGTCCGTCTATCCATAGCTTGATCTTCGTATCAGGTATGCCAATCTGGGTGCTCTCGTAACCGAAGACAAGTAAAACGTCAAGGGCGAGAATCCCGTGTCCCGGACCAAGCTTCTCACGAATTGTGGCAGCGGTCGGAATTGTTAATGGTTCGTGGTGGATGGTTAACAAGCTGCCTCCAAAGCCAATACTATGATGCCGAATGATATCTTCCAATGCTTTTGCAACTGGGCCATATTTCTGGGGACATACTACAAGCACATTGGAGCTACCAGTAACAAATGTGTGTAGTAACACATTTCGATGAGGAAACAAGGAGCGATACGCTGCTACTGTAGCCGGTCCACTAACGTTTGGTATCGCTTCATCGCTATCGCTTTCCGGTATCTTCTGAGGCATCGCAGCACGCAACGCTTTCGCTAGCGTGCAACCTGTTTGAAGAAGGGGTGGGTGGTTTAGTTGATGATTTCTAGATAGTTCGGCGTTCGCTGAGTGTTCCGATGCTCATAAGGTTTTCTGCAAGGCTTTCACCAAAGTCAAACCAAGAACGGGTATTCTAGCAGATACATATGAGAACATGGGGACACAAGAACACTGGCAGGTTCTTGCAGCCTTTGTTCTGCGCATAGTACGCGTAGTTGTGGAAACCGTGAATGACAGTGTATCGGACTACATAGCAAACCGTTTGTTTTAAACCATTCATAATGATGTGCATTTATATATATACTCCTTGCCCGTTAGCAACCAAGCCAAGGGCCTCAACCTTGACGGACTCAACTCAGCATCATCGAAATTCAATACAAGATTCAGCACCGATGGCCTCCAACAGGCGCCACGAACTTCTGCTCGACCTTCTAAGCGACGAAGTGGCAATACAGGCAATTCTTGCAGAGTCTGAAATGCATAATCTTATTACTGAGATTCAAAAAGGAGCCATTAAAACACCTTACCGGCATTTAGTCGGGGAAGGTACTGTAGTATCAGATGATATAGATGAGCCAAGGGCAAATGGAGAACCGCGAAGCCACATCCAGCATTACCTGACGGGCGCAAGGCCACTGCCTATACGTACGAAAAGCAGGACCAGTTCTTGGAGTCGTTTCACGAAGATCAAAGAGCTGAAGATCTCTGACGTTGTTCTCGAGCACATAGAAACCCACGGCACCAAAGCTATCCCGTTCTTCTCTCGTGAAGCAATGTCGCACGGAGTGGAGAAGCTCGACGACAAGAAGCTCAGTGACGCTTTCACTATCTGCTATCGCAATACGAGTCAGCTCAAGCAGAACATCGAGACTGATCGGATCCTGCGGTTGTTTCATATGCTCCAATACTACGACATTTGCTAGATGCTGCGACCAGGTATGGAAGATGTTGGAGTTTCAATGCTCTCCGAAGTGCATACTTTCGTGCAACCTCTACTCGCCCAGGATCCAGGTCTTACGGCGGCCAAGGCAACTAAGGACGTGTATGAGTGGTGTGATAACGGTGCGAAGCCAAACGTATTCGTTTCCCAATTCAGTCCAGGCTGCATCTTCGTACTTGCGAACCAACTATCCGCGAATTTCATCAAGAAAAACAAGATAGCGCGATCTGGGACGAAACTCAAGGCAGCGGTGAGCTACCTTGAGTTTATGCTCCAATTAAGTGTCATGCTGAAGACACCAAAGGCTGGAAAGCTAGGCGAGGCTATACGAGAGTTCCTCATCCGTCCATTTCGTCAGAAACACGAAGGGATTGACCTGCCTGCTGCTACTTCTAAAGGCGTGCAGCAACCCAGCAGTGCTGGAGGGGAGGATGAGTAGGAAACGATCGCTTGATCTAGTTGCTGAGAGGCACGGCATGCCAAATGGTGTATCTCAATCCACAGTAATATATGACCTAACCGGTGGGTCACTGCACATGATCAATCTCAGATTATTAGCTTGGTTTTCGTAGATTCTGTAGCTAGTCCTTCGCTCAAAACATCAGTTTCAGCAATGCGCATACTCTTTTTGATTCAATAATTGTATACCGAGGCGGCTAAAGCAGAGAGTGCCAGATGAGAAAGGGTAAGGTCTGGGACAATAAAAGCATTGAGGGCATTTTGTCTTGTCTACATTCTGACGCCTGCACTTAGTTTGTACACCCTCCTTATCGTTCAATTCCCATCTCTCGTACTGGCAAACTTCATTTTTTGCTTTTCAGTATCTTCCTGAGCTTACCGTATTCTAGAAATATCTTTTTGCACAGGGTGAGCTAGGTAAGGACCAGACCTACGCATATATTAAACTCTTTGTTTTTATCATAAATAAGTAAACATGCTATTTGTCAAAGTAGAGATTTCAGGTGCAAATACGAAAGAGGGGAGAACGAGAGTGCGTATAGGATGTGTGCTTGTAGAGATGTTATGGTGTAAGGACCGCACAACACCACGAGCAAGTCGCGTACGACTCGCGTTTATGCAAGCCCACAATAGCAGCCGCAATCTAGTCAGGATGGCAAAATTCGAACACGATGATTGAGTCCAGGCATCTCCTTACAATATTGTCGGCGCGCAATATAACTATACTTACCGCTAGCTATACCATCTACTTATTGTCATTCAACACAGTCAGCACTCTCTCGTAACGGGATGCTGAATAGAATAACATAATCTCTTACGTAAATCAAATATCATACAACAATGTAAATAAATCACCAGGCTATATAGGTAGTTTAGGAATAGTAACTATAACATGAAAAGACATGCTACGGATGTCCGTGACATGGGATGTTGGTGCTATTGAATGCCGATGAGAACTTGGGATACCAATGGTCCTGATCCTTCACTCTTATTTCATTATAGCTTCCGCTTCGTGCAAATGGCTTAGCTGTTATCCTATACGGGACATAGACCTACCTAGTATACGCTAATCTATGTTAACTATCTATTACTGTGTGACGAAATGATTTTCTAATCCTCTACTTAGTTTCCTACTGCATTCTGTTAAGTTTTCCCTTGCTGGAGTCCTCGCCTAGCTAAATGAATTTAGACTGATTGAACAATGCGTTACAACTACAGTCTTTACACTTGTTTCATGATAATGGCATATTAACTACTTGTTCATGCAGCCCGTATTTTTTACGTGTTTAACTAATTTGTTCTCTACTTGTACTTTTGAAGAATGTAGGTCTTTATTATGCGGTAGTTCGCTCCTATAATCACTCTGTTTACTAGTAGCGCCTTTACAGCAGCCCTGCCTAATAACTACCTAGGCTACCTAAAAAACCTAGTTTATCCTATACCACTGTGACTGGCCCAATCATCTGTAAGCAAGACGCACACTCTTAGTATAATAATATTTAATTATTTTAGATCACTAATGCTGATGATTGCAACGATTCACTAAGAAATTGGCAATAAGATTCTGTCGAGGAGGGGTGTATTACGTCACACGAAAGCTTGGAATAAAACCGCATTGGAGTGATTCTAGCGAGCTGGTAGCAATTGTACACTTAGGTGAGTAGGAATGTAACGAGAGTCCGCCAGTTACTAATAACACGATACATTCATAGATAGTCATTAGATAATAGCCTCCTTTCTGGCTCTGTAACCCTTATATCCAGGATGACACAACATAGTTTAGCAATTCCATGTGACTACCTATTTATTGTGTTCAAGTTATAGGATACGATACCTCACTAATGTCTTATGTTGTGTACTCTATAGCGTTGTAAAAGCTACTATGTTAGCACGTCGAAATCACTCACAAAATAACATATAGATAAGCTGCAGCCATGAAGCGTGGCAGTTCCAATGTCAGGCTTCAGTATCCCATGTTACCTTATTCTGCAAGATCATGCACATGTGAAGGTTACTGCCCTAACTCTGGATTTTTAGCTCTTAGGAGATTGGCACTTTCACTGGTAGTTTAGAATTGAATACCGGACTATCATGCAAATCTCAGTTTTCACATACTTCCTTACCGTACATACGGGATCACTGCCTTTACACTCCACCTCCATACATGCACGTTCAGGACCCAGATCTTAGCAGGGGCACGTGGCACCCCGGCGATATTAATCGGCAAATTCAGCCTCCAGATGCGCTCACACTCATAGTACATGCCTGGCACCTGATTGCATCGGCCACCCGGAAAAGCTAACATTGAAAAGAACAAGAATAGCCTGGCCTTATCAAATCTACTCCATCCGCTATAGAGGCTCACACTGCCATCGAAACGTCGTGTCTTTGGAAAGTCTTCCCATCCCACACACCAGTCGATGCACCCGGCACACGTGCGGAGGGGTACTTTTTTGTTTTCGCCCACGACACCTCGAAGCGGCGTCATTAGCCAGTTTGCAGTGGGGTAGCTCTGGAGCTGCGAGAGTCGGTGTATCTTGCCCCTCATTTTTGGCCTTGCAACTAAAGATGCCCCACCATGGTGTGGACTGACCAAAAGTCTACGCGTCATAGCTTTGACACAACTTCCTCGCTATCGTGCCTTTCATCTGAAGTGAAATGAGTTATCCAGCGGTACATAAAGCCAAAACCGGGAGACATCGTCATATTGCACCATTTCCAGCGTCCACGGTTGTGTAGTGTATGTTCGCCTCTAAACTGCAATGCGTTAAAAGCATTCGCTCATTCGATTCTAGGTAGTGGTTATCACTTCAGATTTTGACTAATGCTCAATATTCTGATAACCCCGGTTCGGTAAGATGATATCTACCCCCCACTGTGCAATGCAGTTCCTAACATGAAGAAGAACCCGGGCACGACCTCGAAGATTTCTTTTTGCCAATGCAGTTGTACCTGTTATAGAAGAGGGTATCCAGGCAGTAGCTAGTATTTTTGTGATTCTTATAGATATAATAGGACAAGATGGACTCACTACCTTTAGAAATACAGAATGTGATGATTACAGTATTTTGTGGACATCCAAAACGCCATGCTCGTTGATGCCACCGCCGTACGCCTTGCTTCCTGGATATAGTGCGCTGCCCATTCTCTCCCCGTTCAACGCCTTGGTAATAATCTTGATACCAAACAAAGAAATCGAGAATCGCGTCTACCACCATCGCCTTGAGTTTCTCCCAGTAGTAGCACATTGTAGGCAATGTCTTGTGGTTGAGACTACGGCACAAGACCCACAGACCTTCCTGGCGCAGTCGCTGCACGCAAAGGCACTTCCTTGGGCAGCTTCTCCCAAGTCTGCATCCATGTCAATGTCCATACTGTCGTCTTCACTCTGCAGTGCAGAATCACAATCCTCGCACCGGGGTAGCTGCAACGAGCCTTGATTCTGCTGTACGGTGACTGAAAAGATGGGCTGAACAGGTGGCGCAGGTAGTTGTTTCCAAAAGGAATGCAGTGTGGACTTTTGCGGCTTCGGCGTGGTTATGGTAGGATGCTGAATTGGAAGGAACTGGGAAGATGGGGCTGGCTCGTCGCGATGGTTGCGCTGAGCAGAAAAGAGCTTGTTCAGCGTGTTTTCTAAAACGTGTTAGTGAGTCGCATGCTTCACAACAAATACGGCCATACCATGTATCGCATGCTCATCTGGTCGGTTGTCGCGCACTCTTTTACATGTCCGGTTGCCCCAGTCACTGCTCTTGACCCGACTTGCACTCATAAAATCCCAGCCATGAGACCGCGTGCTTCTGTCCACATCCATCATCGCATCTTGGTTCTTTGTGAAACATGCTGGCGACTGGGTGTCAGGCGTTGGCATGGCGCCAAAGCCCGAGAGGGAGAGCGACGAGTCGTCGGACGAATGCTTGCGCTTGCAGCCCATGGCCGTGGATAATACTCGATAAAGGGGGGGTTGAGGTCTTCAGGGGACTGGGTATCTCTGTCTGTGCGCGCAAAGGAGTAATATGCCGCCACCAGAGCGAGATGGGACAAGACGGGGTTGATGATGCAAAGTGGCTGTCCCGGAAACGCGAAGCCGAGTCGCGAGCGCGTCGCGTATGGACCGAACAGGAACGCTCAGTCCCCGCCAACGGTTCCAACACCAGCGCACACCTCACGCTTTAACCATGTAGATTTCCGATTGCCTGAATTTGTGCGATGATGCTGAAAAATAGGTCAGGACTAATTCGAGTACATTTCGGCCCCCACCTGGCTGTCCAGCTGCTGCGGTAAGTAAACGGAGAGGGCATTACGTCGGTCATGCGAGCGAGCATGGAGCTCGTGCCCCGCATTGCGCCTCATCATCACCACCACCACTACGACTTCTCCAAGCAAGTGCTTCCTCCCGGATACACATATCGTGGGCCATCTGTCGCCCGGCTATTCAACCCCCCAGGACAGCCATGGTCACCCGCAAGGATTCGCACGCCGGCTCGTGGTACACAGACAACGGCCAGCTTCTCTCACAGCAGCTTGACGGCTGGCTCCAAGCAGTGCCCGACTCGACGACGCCAATCGGCTCGGCCTCGTCTCAGAAAGGCCAAGTCGCGATACCAACGCCCAATGCGCGGGCCATCATCGCCCCGTATGCTCCCTCAAGCAGCTGCCGTTAGGATGTGAGGGCTCATGGTTACGCAGGCACGCGGGATACTCGTACTCTGGGCCTGCCGCTGCCTGGGCCTACAAGAGCGCCGATTGGGCCAATGCGTGCGTCGACGGCACATGGGACTCGTCTCGACCCAACTAATTGCCTGTAGGAAACGCGTCTTTCTGCTGGGCCCCTCGCACCACTACTACCTGACGGGCGCGGCTACAACGGGCTGCGACAAGTACCGCACGCCTCTCGGCGACCTGACGGTAGACACAACGCTGGTCAAGAAGATTCAGGAAGAATGGCGCTTGGAGACCATGTCAAAGAGGACAGACGAGGATGAGCACAGCTTGGAGATGCATCTGCCCTACATCTACAAGATGCTGTCACTGAAGAACCCAAGCTTTCAGAACGACCCAACCACAGTCCCTCTAGTCCCCATCATGGTTGGAAATACTGACGCATCCACCGAAGCTCATTACGGCTCCTTGATCGCCCCATATCTTGCTGATCCTGCCAACGTCTTTGTCATCTCGTCTGATTTCTGCCACTGGGGCTCGCGCTTTCGCTACACATACTACCAGCCTGCCGACGGCTCAACAGCCATGCAGCTGAGATCAAATCCACGCGTCCCCAGCGACCACCCAATACATGCGAGCATTGCGGCTGTCGACCAAGAGAGCATGGATGCCGTTGAGAGCAGATCACACAGACAGTTTCTAGACCAGTTGAGGAAGACGGGCAACACGGTGTGTGGTAGACATCCCATTGGCGTCTTCATGGCTGCAGTGGAAAAGGCCGAGGGGCTAGGACAGGACAAGGGCCAATTCGCTTTCCTACGGTATGAGCGAAGCAGTCTTGTCGAGGATATCAGTGACAGTAGTGTTTCGTACTGCAGTGCTTTTGCAGTGCTATAGAGTTGACGTCAACTTCCAGCCACACAAGGATGACGAGCAAACAACAGGGTAATGCATGAATATTTTAAATACATCTTCGTATGAATACCTCTGCTGTTGCAACGACCATATCTATACATGCATCTAATTATCGTTCCTATTTTGTGCACCAACGCCAACCAATGCAATGCCATCGCCCCTGAAACGCATTCAAGTCCCACACATACCTCATCATGGACGTGGCTTGGGCATGGAGCTATGTTTCACGCTCCACGGCTGCATGCTTCTCCTCGCACCCAGTGTTTTCCTCTGCCCCGCCGCGCGATTCTGCACCTGGCTCATCGACGTCATGTGAAATGTTGACGCCGGCCGAAAACCCGATTCCGACGTCCTAGCCGATACGTTTTCGACAGGACTCTCTGGCCCATCCTCAGGTACATCCACTGCATCCGGCTTGGGAGGTGAGCTCGACAAAAGCACATATCGCGTATTCCGCGTCTCCGTCTCCGGCTCGTTCCTCTTTGGTTTGGCGAGAATCGGCCGGCTCGTTACTTTATGGTCTGGTATCGAGAGCGGCTGGAAGGGGCGGCACGGGCGGGTCGTCCAAGGCTGTACGTTGGAAATGTCTTGTAACGGTGCGTTGGTTGAGAAGGAGGATTGCAATCGCTGCAACGACGGGGGTGCTGCATGCTCTGTTTCTACAGACACGGCGCTGCTTGATCGCTTGAAGAAGCTCGTGATAGCACCTTGGCCGGCTGCGCGCGGTTTGGCAGGCTTCGCCCGGACAGGCTTTGTTTCCGTCTTTGCGGTCGGCGCATCTTGAGCGCTGGCAAGCGTACGGATACGCTCTGCTTCTCTCTGCATTGCTTGCAAGTCGCCCAGATCGCGGGCGCTTGTGAAGCCCGTATTTACGCTTTGCATGGTGGTTTTGGCGGTGGAAAAGTCCGACGCGCGGTTCATGGTAACAGATACTGCTTCTCTCGCAGAAGAGCTCGAAGAATCAATCTTGCGTCGCTTGAAGGCTTGGTTGGGCCCCTCACTACCCAGTCTACACCCACTGGGCTTGTCGTCCCACGGCGCCCCCCACGTTGGATCATTGCCATCAATTTCTTCTCGAGTCGCTGGGTACTTATCATCTTCCGGGCGCTCTAGGGTATCTCGAGCACGGTCAAGATCTGCAGTGCAAGGGCAGTCTCTCCGCAGTATCCGTGCTAGATCAGTAATTGTACTGCGCTTGAACGCTAGGTCTGGCCCTCGCTCGCTAAAGAATTTCTGCACCTTGCGGTCGGATACAAATCTTGAAAGTGTGGTTTCCTCCTGCCCGGATTGCTTGACAGGGCAGCTGAGGTAAAGCAGTGCCTGTGCGCGTGTCATGCCAACGTACAACAATCGCCGTTCCTCATCATGATCATCTGCTCGAGAGTGGGGAATCGACCCATCGTATATGGCAGGCATGAAGACGACGGGCCACTCGAGACCTTTGGCTGCATGAATGGTAGATATGGTAACCTGGTTTTGCTCGGCGCCCTCTTGATCAGCTGCGCTCGACAATGTTACGTTGGCAAGAAACTTGGAAAGCACATCGGCGGCGCTGTCGGCTCGTTGTTCAAGACCTTCTACCTCGGGCAAGACGTCGTCTGATATCTCTTCTCCATTTGCGACCGCTGTAGCCATCTGCGTTGCCTGATTGACAAGCTCTTCGACGTTTGCCCATCGATCTTGCCAATTCTCCTTGTGCGCCTGCTTGAGATATGACTGGAATGATATCCTGTTCAAGATATGCGTTATCAGGCCAAAAAGGTCGCATCCATCATCTTTAACCGATACCAGCTTTTCGCGCGAACTGAGAATGACATTGACAAACTGCTCAATGCCTTTTTGCGCTGGTGCAGATACTTTGCTCTTGGGCTTTCTTCTTCCTTGGGCAACATCAAGAACCAGTTTCCACAGTGTCATCTTGCCGATTTCTGCTTCTTCCAAAAGAGCCTTCACTGTGGTATCACCAACCTTTCGAGACGGCACATTGATTACGCGTGCTACTGCATCGTTGTGCTCTGGCTGGCTGACCACGCGGAGGTAATCCAGTATAATCTTAATCTCGGCACGATCAAAAAATTTCGTGCCGGCAACCATGCGGTAAGGGACGCCAGCTTGGCCAAGGGCTCGTTCAATCTGAAGAGTAAGCGGAGACGAGCGTACCAAGATGGCGTAGTCATTAAAGTCCAACAGTCCAGCAGTCAGTGTTCTTGTTCGGCATATCTCCTCAACAATCCACTTTGCTTCCACGTTGGCGGATACCAGATGACGAAGAGTGGGTTGTTCGCCCACACCATGGGTAGCAATCAGTGGCTTCTGCGGTCGGCTCTCGTCCTGTTCAATCACCGCCATTGCCGAGTTGAGGATGCAACCCGAAGAGCGGTAGTTGTTTTCGAGGTTGATGACGACCGATTCCGGATAGTCAGTCCGCATGCGAAGGAGATTCTTGATCTCGGCTGAGCGGAAGCTGTATATACTCTGATCTGGATCCCCGACGATCGTAATACGCCTGGATCTCTGAGCTAACAAGCGCATCAGCTCATACTGGATGTTGTTGGTGTCTTGGTATTCATCGATAAGCACAGCTTGTATCGTGGAGACGCACGAGGGCGATTTCTTGAGGAGATCTACGCAGCGGATCAAAAGATCGTCGTAGTCGAGCAGGTTAGAAGCTGCGAGTTGCTCTTGATAAGAAGAGTAGATCATGGCAAACTCGTTGTCGTTTGCATTCTTGGGTGTTCTTCGAAAGTCGTCGGCTGTAATACCCTGGGCTTTGAGCTTGGAAATCCTCGAACGAGCATGGCCAGGCTCTATCGTATATTGGTACCGGGTGACGATGCGTTTGAGTATAGCTGCGCTATCACTCGTGTCGGCAATTCCAAAACTCTTGTCGATTCCAATCTCATGGCCATAGCGGGACAGGAAGCGACGTGCCACGGAGTGAAAGGTACCCAAGATCAACTTGGCTTCGAGCTTCTCCCCAACAAAGCCCTTGATCCTCTCCTTCATCTCGCGGGCGGCCTTGATGGTAAAGGTGCAGACGATAATGTTCCATGGCTGCAGTCGCTCGTGGTTGATGTGGTACGCGACGCGTGCTGTCAGTGTTTTCGTCTTGCCTGAGCCCGGAGGCGCAAGCACCTGCACGACATTTGCAGGGCTCGTCACTGCGCTCTTCTGCGCATCATTGAGGCCATCCAGCAATGCATCCATGGCCAGTTGCTGGATGTGTTGCAGTTCATGGGTGGGGTGTGGTGCCGCCACTGGCCACAATGGAATGGATGGTGGCCCAAAACGCGCTAGAGCCGCGTGTCACGTGCTTCGAGCTGGAATGGCCCATGACTCGTGACTATGAAGTTTGCATTCCCAGCCGTTGAAAAGTCTTGCCGGTCGGTCAGGCCGTCACCCCAGATTGCGTAAGGCTTCCGCTGAACATGCTCCTTCGGTCTAAACCAGCCTTGTTCGCCAAGTGGAATTCTTCCCCGCAAATGCGGAGGTCGACCTTGCTCGGTCTGCTTTTATCCGTCAACCCGTCTTGAAGCAAGGAAGATCTGCGCCCAGTGGCATGTATTCAGCAAGCCTGCCGATGCGCTATGAAGCTCTCTGCCGTTAGCCAACTCTAAACAGATGTCCCGGCGGCTTATAAAGCTCCTCATGTACCCCCCGATGTTGCACGACATCCTCGAGACCACTGGGTGCTTCATCTTGGGGTCATGTTTGGTCTGCGCATACTCATTACCTCGGCCCTTGCCGCAAGTGGCATTGTCATGGCAGGCTACTTACCAGAGGTAGCTGGCCCAGCCGCTTTCCATTACAATGCGAAAAGACAGACTGCAAACAGCTCGTCGCCGGCATTCAACGGCCCGTACAGTACTCGCGGACGAGACATTGTTAACAGCAAGGGTGAGAAAGTAACATGGACCGGCGTCAACTGGCCCATGAGCGGTACGTAGTCCTTTGCTGTCGACTCCATCACGTGTGTGCTTACTTCCTACAGGTGAGACCATGATTCCAGAGGGTCTCGAGTGGGCATCCGCCGATGAGATCCTCCAAGACATTGCCAGTGTCGGGTTCAATTACATTCGTATGGGGTACGCCATTGAGATGATTGATCAGATATATGACCGGAACGGCGACGATGTACCCATGGAGGTTGCACTCATCAATGCCCTGGGATACGTCAATGGCACCAAAGTCACCAAGGAAATCGTTGCGAAAAACCCCGGTTGGACGGCACAGACGACTCGGTTCGAGATCTGGAGCGACGTTGCGCGTATTGCAGCCACCAAAGGCATCTTCATTAGCCCAGACGTCCACACGGGCAAAGCGCAATGGTGCTGCTCACACATTGACGGCAACGCCTGGTTTGATGATCTAGAATTCAATGCCACACAATGGCGCCGTGGCCTTTCCTATGTCGCAAACTGGGCGAAAGCACACCCAAACATAGTCAGCATGTCGCTCCGCAATGAGCTCCGCGAATCTTGGAACATCACAGACCTGTACTACAACTGGGACACGCTGGTCGGCAACATGACGGCTGGTGCTGACGCGATTCACGCGGCCAACCCGGACATCCTTATCCTCTGGGGAGGCATGCAGTATGGCCAGGATCTTTCGGCCTTAACTAGCGGCAAGAACATTCTGACTGCACCATGCTACAAGTGCACGGCTATTCGCGATGCTGCTAGGCGTGAGCCAGTTTACTTCAATCTCGACGATCACCCGTGGGCCGATAAGCTCGTGTGGGAACTTCATCTCTACAGCATGAGCGAGGACATTGACACGGGCACATGCGATATTGTCAAGGCCGCCTTTTATCGCAATGGATTCAACGCACTGGGCATCGACGCACCGTCAGCTTGCAACATCACGGGAGACTGCCCCAAAGCCGTGCGTCAGACGCCCGTGATTTTGAGCGAGTTCGGCAGTGCCCAGGACGAGACGCTCTTCAACAACACTCTGCAGAATTGCTTGAAGGAATACACGATCGAGCACAATGTCAGCTGGATGATGTGGGCGATCGCTGGCTCGTACCGGATCAGATCGGGAGTGCAAGGGTTCCCGGATACGTGGGGTATGACCAATGACGATTGGACCGGATGGCGTTATGACCGAGGTATCGAAGAGTTCTGGAAACCATGGGTGGGTGCGATGAAGGCAACCAAGCTTGTCTAAGACTGTATCTAAAGCCTAGTTTGTGCTTCGCGCTGGGCTTAGCCGCTATGAATCCAAGACGAGCATGTGTACTATACGCGGGCAAACTGCAGTACGCTACAACGGCCACACATATACCATGCGATATGACACTGGAACCAGACGGACACTAGGCTCGGTCATAACGGCCAGGTGACATGTGGAGGGAAAGTTCCAGGTCGAGTCTAGGTTGAATCCAGGTCGAATCCAGCCCGGATAGATGGTATCATGAGGCGCGATACGGTCAAATACGATCAGCATTAGCTCATGTTTGCCTGTGCTCGGAACAAGGCCCATTGAAGGCGGTGATGATGATGATGATGTGCTGTTGGCAATGGCGCTGCTCTGGGTGGTGAGAGTCGCACGCGAAGGTGCCGAAAGGCCGAACAGGGTCCGGACGACACTGGAGCGGATTTCGTACGAAGCGACGCTCCTTTGGCCTCCGGTGCTTCCTGGCCAGCATTTGACCATTTCACCCCTGTGTAAGCCACCGTCATCTTACAGCCCCGAACATGAAGATTTCTTCTGCAAAACTTAAGACAAGTTGCCTGTCAACAACATCCCATCGCACAGCCACACTACCACCCACCCTGCAGCTATGCCCTTGTGCTTCCCGGACCCGCCGGAACGAGGGCAACTCCACGAACCAAAGATACAGACTTCGGGCAGAGTCAACACATTTGGCCAGGTCTCTGTTCGATTCCATCACAACCCAAGGCGCCTGGAGCATTGGTTCAAGAATGCGCAGCACAGCCTGGTGCGCAAGGCAAATCTAGCCAGTGATCCACGACCCTCCGTTCCGCCGCACAATCTCGCGGACCTTCCTTCGCCGCGACTCAATATTGCTATCCATATATGTGGCTCCAGAGGGGATGTCCAGCCCTTCATACCCATTGCCAAAATCCTCCAAGCGCCTCCGCACAACCACCGCGTACGAATATGCACTCATCCAGCCTTCGCCGACTTCGTGGTAAGTGAAACCGCATCTTATCACTCGTCTGTACTCTAACCCAGTGACTCCCGCGCCAAAGAGAAGCAATGGAATCGAGTTCTTCTCAATCGGAGGCGACCCAGAAGCTCTCATGGCATACATGGTGAAGAACCCCGGCTTGCTTCCAGGAATGGAGAGCATCAAGGCTGGCGAAGTAAGCAAAAGACGAAAGGAAATGGCAGAAATACTTGAAGGCACATGGCGCAGCTGCATTGAGGCTGGAGATGGGCTAGGACCCCGAATTCCCGCACTAGACGTGGACAACACCGAGAGTCTGTTCCTTGCAGATGTCATCATCGCCAACCCACCATCAATGGGCCATATCCATTGCGCAGAAAAGCTCGGCATACCTTTGCACATTGTCTTCACCATGCCGTGGTCACCTACCAAAGCTTTCCACCACCCATTAGCCGCCATGGATTACGGAGATGCCGACAAGTCCGCTGCAAACTATGCCAGCTTTGCCGTTATGGAATTAATGACCTGGCAAGGGTAAGCTACCAATGGAATGCTTTCGGACATGACTACGAAAAGCCAAAATGCTGACTATGCCAGACTTGGAGATCTCATCAATAGATTCAGAACACAGACCCTCAAGCTCGACACAGTAAGGGCCTATAACGCGACTCCACACTTGGCTCATGCTAATCATCTTGCGCTACGTAGATGAGCCCGCTATGGGGGTTCCAGCTGCTTCAAAGACTAAAAGTTCCTCATTCGTATCTCTGGTCACAGACCCTCATTCCCAAGCCGGCAGATTGGCCTGCACACCTCAACGTAACAGGGTTTTCTTTCCTCAAGGCTGATCCATCCTACACACCACCCGACGACCTCGTCGCATTCCTCGAAAAGGGCCCAACTCCGATTTATGTTGGATTTGGTTCCATTGTCGTGGAAGACCCTTTGAAACTAACTGAACTTATCTTCGAAGCTATCAAGTTAGCTGGAGTACGTGCAATTGTGTCAAAGGGGTGGGGTGGTATAGGCACAGGTAAGGTGCCTGAAAATGTCTACATGATTGGTAATTGCCCTCACGTGAGTACACGAACCAAAAAGGTCTACGCCCACACACAACTCACATGAGCACAGGACTGGCTCTTTCGAAATGTCTCATGCGTAGTTCATCATGGCGGCGCAGGGACAACAGCGGCAGGCATCGCGCTTGGCAGACCCACTGTGATAGTCCCTTTCTTTGGCGATCAGCCGTTTTGGGGACAGATGATTGCCAAAGCCGGTGCTGGACCAAAGCCTATCCCATTCAAAAAACTGACGGCGACGGACTTGGCCGAAAGTATCAAGTTCGCGTTGCGACCCGAAGTTGGCGTAGCTGTCAAGGACATGGCTTCTCGTATTTCAAAAGAGGACGGAGCTTCTGAGACGGTACGCGACTTTGAGAGGGCACTGAATGTAGATGAGATGAGGTGTCATATCTGCCCAGATCGCTTAGCAGTGTGGGAGAATAAGAGATCTGGAATCCATCTTAGTGGACTGGCAATGGGTATCCTTGCTCAGCAAGGTTGCCTTAACCCCAAAGACCTACAGCTGTAAGTGCCTTGATCATTGTGGGTTCGGGTGAGCAAAAAGGCTAACTTATTTTTAGACTACGTCACAGACATTGGTGTAAGATCCCAATTGCAGCTCTCGAGATGTCATGCTGATAATCAAAGATACTCATGAAGGCGCTGAAGTGCCGATTATTGGTGCAGCAGCAGCAGTTTCCGGCTTCTTTACCTCTGTTGCGGCCAACACGTCCGACTTCTCTCATCGCCTGAAAAGAGAAACTCCTGAGAGCAATTGTTCAATACCGACACAAGTCGATCCACTGAAAGAGCAAGTACAAGAACAGGCAGACGAGAAGGAGTGGAGTTCTGTTCGCTTGTCGAAAGTTGCCGAGCGAATGGCTTATAAATCTTTCAAGGGAAACTGGAGAGACAGCCTTGACAAAGACACTAGGATGCGAAGAACACGTAAGTTGCAGGCTGCCCACGCTGCCAAGGCGGCTGAGCGAGGAAGAGCCCATGTAGTGACCAGCGCAACTCTGCATTACGCTGGAGATCTAGCCAAGACCAGTCTGCAAGGTGAGACTAGGGCCCCAGTTGTTGTTATTCCATAATACTGATCAATATAGCGCCGGTGGCCTTATTCTACAACTCGGCAAACGGCTTCCGCAACGCTCCTTCCTACCTATTAACCAACGAAGGAATACGACGCCGCGATGAAATTGTTGGTTGTGGTAGCGGCCTCGAAGTTGCTGGCAAGGTTTGTATTTTTCGTTTCACTTTACGGTACAATTGTTGACATGTCGCGATAGGAGTTTGTTATGGGCATGTTCTCAGCTTTTATTGGGCTCGTGAAACATCCCTATGTAGGCACGAGAGTTGAAGGACCGCTCGGTCTAGTGAAAGGCGTAGGGCGAGGTCTTGGTGGATTCCCCTATCACATATTGGGCGGTAAGCTCCATGCATCGTTTTATCTCATTTTCAATGCCAGTGCTAACAAATGGTGCAGCGGTCTTGGGTATACTTGGTTATTCACTCAAAGGCATAGAGTGTGAATTGTCAAAAGGCCGTCTTACTTCGCTACAGGCTGAGCTGTATTTGATTAGACTTCGGCAAGCGGTTCATGACCTCAGAACGGCAACACAGGAAGAAAAAGAGGATATAATGGAGAAATGGAAGGCCATGCATGGCCACAAGTAGAGCAGCGACATTTGTTTTTTTTTCATTTGTATCATGTATCACTACATATACCCTTCTCATATGTTGAATTTCCTTTGTATATAAACAGGCATATCATAGACATAAGATTAACCTATATTGATAGAAATCTCAAGCTCAGTATCTGAACAGCGCTAGGAGACCTTGGTATCTCAACATCTTCAATTCATCTATTATCCCCCGTTTTCTGTCACATTACATACTTGTTGTGGTGCAAAAAGGCTAACCTTCTGCACCGTGCAGAAGGTAGAGTAGATATATCCCGACACTTGTAATGTCACAAAAATAGCGCATGTATAGTCTTCCTATGAGAATTCAAAAAGAAAGCAAAGAGTAGGAGTTGAGGGCTAAAATCAGGCATCCACCATAGCAACACTACTTTAGATTCAGTGTTTAGGATCTTAGCGCGATTTTTCAACTTGCGGTAGCTTTACTCAGGAAAACGACGCTTGATGCCGCTGGTACCTTTTTCAGAATACCACCTGCTCATAAATTACGTATCACAATCGTGTGCCGTCTCACTTTTCTTAGCTCACGGCTCCCCATCCATGTCTTGCCATTGGTGGATCATATCGCCCCGGGTCAGCTTTATGCCGAGCGGAGGATCCTATACCATTCCTTTCTTGTTGTGCTGGGGGAATCGGGGCCCCCAGTATCCTAACTTTCACTGGATTTAGTTCCGTCTTGTGTGCGCGCCTGGCTTGATTGGCGGCTAAGTGGCGTCCGAATAGTAATCTAGTCCAACAGGATTTGCTCAGTCGCATCTGACATGCGGCTGATGTGAGCATCGTCTAACTATATCACATGTGTCTTTAGCTGCTACACGAAATCTAAATGTAACGCCGCATCACTGGTAGAGGCACATGCTAACGCTGTTTCCAAACCATCAGTGATTATATGGTATGTGCCTCGACTGTTCTTTCCAAGTAATCTATTCCTGGAATTCTGTTTCCAATTGTAGCAACTATAGAGTATCTATCACATTCATGTCGTATGCATCATCTACTCTGTCATGCAAAACTATGCTTTGCTCTAATTGATCAAGTCAACAACCTGTACCCTGCTCTGAATCCAAAGCAAAAGCATCTTCAAATTGCTGATGTCCATGACGTCTTCGTGTGTAGATACGTCGAGCATTGGATATGCGAGGTTCTTTACTGTTAGATGATAGCCCGCACCCAAGATGGTCAATACACGGCCATATGCACTAACACGAACAGACATGCCTAAAGACGTTGCATGGTCTCTTACTATATTGATGCCTTGGTTGATCTCCTCATAGTCACAAACAGTAACAGACTGGATAACCGGACACCACTTATCCTTCAATCGGATCAGGTTGCTAAGACGAGCTCGATTCAGGTCTTCAAAATGACAACAGATTATCTGTAAGTGTTCCAGCGAGGCCGGGAGATCTTGGAATTGATATAGCCTCTCAAACTCGATTGTAATGCGTGAGAGAGTCTCAAAGTCGCGGAATGATGGATAGGTAAAGATGTGGTATGATGGATAGTCAAGAACGCTGTCTCCCGACATTTCAATTTCCTCTTGTAATTCGGGGTCATTGAGGTTGTAGTTGGAGCCGTAATTCAAGTACAGCGTCTGCAACTTTTGCCTGTGCGTTCGAAGCAATGCCTGGACAAGATCTCGCGGCGTAACCAACGGGTCGTAACCCACGTCCCACAGCCATCTGTAGCGGGTTTCAGAAGGGATGTCAAGCTTGAACACAGTCAAATGAGGACATGCATCTAGTAGCTTTTCCATCGTAGATAATGGTCTTATGCACCAGGATAATTCGGCATTTGTGTGTGTAATAACATTGGTCGCGCGAGACCCATGCGGAGTGTCTGGCACATCGCTCTCAGATGAGAATCTTTCAAACGAAGGGTACTGCATAAGAGGTATGTAGTCTTCTATGTCGACAGGGCCATCCTCGTACTGTTTATGTCTAGGGATGCCATATTAGCTGCAGTTACCCAAAGCCCGCATGTGGAAGAGCTCAAGTGACTGATGATCAAACTTGCTTAGGGTTAAGGGGAAAGGCACAGGAACCACTTACAAATGAAACGTCTTCAGTTTGGACAAGATTGAGAGATCAGCCTGCATCTCATGCATCCTCTGCATCAAAGATCGTGGTGCTTCGATTTGGGTTGTAAGGTGGAGGTGTCGTAGATTCGGCAACCGGGCCAAAATCTGCACAGCGAGCGGGTAGTAACACAACTCGGGTTCAATTTCGAAAGAATGACCTCCTATCAACGCCGAGAGCTCCATGAAGACTGCATCGTGCTCGAGAGCAGGCCAATCATAACGCACTCCATGGTCGTTGAACAGCGCAAGCTCTTTGGTCTTTTGGGCTAGCGACGGACATTCAATCACAGTTCGGAGGAAGAGTTTAAGGTGAATGAGAGGATCTGTTGTTGATTCGACTATCCGAACAGAAGTGTAAAGCGCTGGTTGCGCAACTCCGAGGAGCACGCGCGAGGTACGGCAGAGATAAAGTAGCGTTTTGACGGCATATTCATCTCCCGTGCTGAGATAAGAAGTGATGTTGATGAGCAGTTCGTTGGATAGATCCGTGATTTTAGCCATTTTTCGACAAAGGTGAAGGGCAAAATTATTGAGTAAGTGTTTACAGATGGCTGCACTACTGATGCAATAGTGTAACATATGTAGGCTTTGCGGCCTAACTTCAGCCACTCTAAGTAGGCAGCTGCGGGGCATGTTGTCTGTGCGCAATGCACGACAAACGTCTGGTTACACAAGCGGATCTTGTTCATACAACGACATTATATTCTTGAATCATCTCGACGAAATTAGGGCTTATCCTTCAGATCCTGTCATCTATGTACTGTTGAAGTAACCAGAAATAATTTTCTTTTGGATTTCTATCTAGATAACTAGGCTGATCAACGTTAGAAGTAAGGCTCGCCTGTATCGTGGAGATACCTACTGTACTTATACTCAGTGCAGCGTTAAGCAGAGGTCTCTCCAACAATGATAATCTTTCTTCTCACTCATCCCCCAGACTACTCTTCCAACATACTTCACCAGTGACGTTGTAGCAAACTGGCATTCTCAACTCCTCCAGCCCCTCGAATTCCAACCACCCCAATCTCCATTCCTACGCTTTCTTTCCACTCTTATCGTCCTCGGGCAGAGATGCCACAATGTAGAAATTGTACACAGAGTACAAGGTGCAAGCGACGCCAGCACCATAGTAAAGATTGTTGTCAAAGATTTCCGGGACCGCAAGCACCCACTGCGAGTAAGGCGTGAAAGAATTCACAGTGCCGACGATAATGACAGCAGCAAGGCCCAGCGAAGTGCCCCTTCGCGAGCCACGCTCCAGCCACAAGGCACCGGGGCCAACCGCCATGACCATGTTGGTGAAGATGGTCCATTGCATCCAGCCCTGGCGACCAACCATGTAGATGAGAGAGAGTATAGTGCCGTAGAACACGAGCAGAAGCAGCGCAGCATGAATGTAGGCTTGAAAACGCCGCGTCGCACTCTGCGACCGGCTGAACAGTCCCTCGCGCTCAACCACGATAAGCCGGTAAGTGCAATATATCTCGAGTGCACTCCAGAGCGCCAGGCCCTTGGACGTGCCTGTCAAGAAGATGTGGTTGTTGTACTTTGGTGCCTCCTGCGCCAGAAGGTAGCACCAGGTCGAGTCATGTGCCAGGTAGAAGAGATACATCCAGAGGGGAAACGGGCCCCTGCCATCCTTGTGTGTAGGATAGACACAGTAGAAGTACTCCAGAAAGCCAACTGCGCTAGCGATAGCCGTTGCTCGCAGAATACTGCCGTCGTCAGCATCCATGTTGGCAAGGATTTGCCCAAAGTATTCAGGGCCCTCCATGTTGTGTTATCCGCAGTGGGCGGAGCGCGCGGAGGACAAAGGTAAGCCGGGTGGTCTGTGGAAAGGCGCAATGGCGGGGTTGCTAAAACCTGGTGAATGGAGGGGCGAGATGGGTACAAAAAGGCATCGGCAGCAATCGGTACGGACATAGATGGACGGTCGATTACCAGTGTATCGGAGCATCGGAGCATTAGTCTCATGATATTGAATGCTTAAGCGCCCTGAAAGGCAGAAAACCCCGCATTCTAGCAGTCAATCGACCCATGTTGCATGCTGTGAACGCGAGAGCTTCGCTTGGCAGACCACGATACCCATAGCTGCAATTCATCATTACCAATCACCGGCAAATTGTCAGTAACGCTTGAAGCAGATTCAGTCCCAGCATTACTTTATGAGGTTTTGCAACGCGAGTATCCAACTAAGCATCTATGACTTGACTTAATCATCTCTCAACACCTGTCTGATTTACGCATAGTCTGAATAGAATAAAATATGTAAATTCGTCGCTCAGCGCTTAGCCAGCAGAGCCCTAGCGTCCCCCAAACGCCAAGCGTATCAAATCACTTCGTTTTCGGTCCATTTGTTGCCGGATGAGCCGGCAATTCAACAGCACTCCTATTCAGGGATAGTCCCAGTGACACATGTGAGATCCCTGACTAAATTGACTGCTTGAAATCGTGACATTATTACTAATAAAAAGAAGGTCCTAACCCTCTTTTTTACTCTCTGCAACACCCGAGTCATCCTCTACTACAATAATAGCTGGCGCGGCCGTCTCGTCGGCCGCCGCCTCGATATCGCTCCTCTTGGTGTCATCTTTCTTGCGCCTAAACGTAAACATAGCCTTGACTTTGCGTGCACCGGTGCAACAAGCGCGGTAGAGCAAAACCACAGGCCTACCCACAAAACTAGCAATAACAGCAAACCATTCGTCTGGGAAGTACCTGATAAGGACAGCCCAGGGAATACATATGAAGCCTGTGACGATACTGATGGCCCATTGTGTGCCGTCAATACCTCCAGATTTGATCTGGAAGGCGCGTCCACCAACAAAAATGATGAGGATCTGAAGGCCGATGATCATCAACACGATGCCAATGAAGAAATAGTTGCGTAACACGCCTTCGAGGACATTGAGCTTGTTGTCCAGACGCCTGTTGTTGAAGATGTTGAAGATCTGCATCCAAACAAAGCAGTTAAAGATGAGAGTGTCGAGTTCTAACTGCTTTTCGGGATTTGATAGATCGTAGTTGAGGATATCGCCACCAGCGAAGTAAAGAACGAAGATCACCGTAATCTTGTAGATGTTTTGGCCGGTGATCTGCTTCCACATAGTTGTTGTGATAAGAGGGCCTTTGCCTTGTGGTGGGCGGTCAAGAATCTTTTCGGTTGGTGGATCAGTGGCAAGGGCGAGGGCTGCAAAAGTGTCCATGATCAAGTTGACCCATAAGAGCTGTACAGCCTTGAGTACAGGCTTCATCTCGTCATCGTACACGGCAGTTACGAATGCCAGTACGACAGCGGTAATGTTTACCGTGATTTGGAACTGCTTCTGTTAGCATTGGAATTTGTGGAGGGAAAGCGGTGGAACCTACCTGAAGGAATTTTTGGACAGCATCATTGACAGCACGACCCCACATCAGGGCAGTGATGATGGAAGTGAAGTTATCGTCCATGAGAATAATCGACGATGCTTCCTTGGCAACCTCTGTTCCCGAAACCATGGAGAATCCAATATTGGCTGCCTTCAATGCAGGGGCGTCATTGGTGCCATCTCCGGTAACAGCGACGATTTCACCAAGAGTCTTGAGACGCTGGACAAGTATGCGCTTGTCTTCGGGCGAAGAACGAGCCAGTACCTGAAGTCGGGGCAAAATCTCGTCTAGTTGTTCTTCGGTCAGGCGACGGAAGTCTGGGCCTTCCATTACCAATCTGCCTTCAGTATAAATCAAGCATTCTGTCGCGATAGCTCGAGCCGTCTGCATGTTGTCGCCGGTAACCATACGAACCGTCACACCTGCGTGTTTCGCCCTGCGTACAGCATCGGGTACACCGGGACGAATGGGATCCTGAATACCAACAACGCCAAAGAATGTAAGGTCGCGCAGCAGGGAGACAAAGTCCACACTGCCTCCTTCTGTGAGCTCAACATGAGCCGGCGGCCATTGCTCAAAGTCGCGGTACACCAGTCCAATGGTCCTGAGGGATTTGTTTGCATATTCGCTGATAGAATCACTGAGGCTCTGCCGCTGGCTGTCTGTCAATGGTTCCATCTCCAAGGAGTCAAAACGGGCAACAGTAGAGGAGAAGCCGAGAAGAATCTCAGATGCTCCCTTGACTACAAGCCGGCAGGTACCATTTTGAAGCTTTAGCACAGCGCCCATGCACTTCTTGCTCGAGTCGAATGGGAACATTTGCAGCACTTGCTGGTTTTGACGGGTTTCGGACAGTGAAACAAGGCCGAGGTGGTCTTTGGCAAACTGGAGGAGGGCGGTCTCTGTCTTGGAGCCAACGAACACTGGTTTTCCATCCTCTTGGCCCTCAAAAGCCGTCGAGTTGATAGCAATGGACTGCACGAGGAGATCTTTCGCAGCCGGCGTGACTTTGGATGCCCATGCGGATACAGTTTCGTCCTTTTGCGAGTTGTTGTCCGCGTGTACGAATCTGGTATTACCGAATGTGCCCGCAACAACAGTCATGATGTTTGTTGTCTATATTCAAAGTTAGTGTCTGCTTGTATCCGCGTCTGTATACGTTACTCACCAGGGTACCGGTCTTGTCTGAGCAAATAGCAGTGGCGTTACCCATGGTTTCGCATGCTCGCAGGATCCTCACGAGATTGTTTTCCTTCAACATCTTGGTTGTCGCAAAGGCTAGCGCCAACGTCACAGCCAACGGAAGTCCTTCAGGAACAGCTACAACGATAATGGTAACTGCAACGATAAGAATGTCCATGAAAGCGGATCCTTTCTCTGAAGCGGTCCGGGTGTCGCCAGACAGTCCACCGACAAAGCGGAAGAGCAGGACAAAGAACAAGATAGCAGCAGCGGATGTTCCGAGCTTCGCAATAGCCATGGCAAGGCCACTAAGCTTCTCCTGGAGAGGGGTAGCTTCAATCTCGACACGGACGGACATCATGATACGACCAAAACTGCTGTTTTCTCCAACAGAGGTAGCCATGAAGGTGCCAAGACCCTCGAGCACCTTTGCACCCGAGATGATGAAAGGGTCGAGGTCCTTGGTAGACTGGCCAGACTCAAGGGCTTTCATGACAACCGCGCCGGGTGTCTTGCGCATAGCATCCGACTCTCCTGTGGCGGACGATTCATCGCACTTGACACCTGAGCCATCAATGAAGATGCCGTCCACAGGGATGATGTCACCAGGCTCCAAGTGTATTAGGTCTCCGGCCAACACATCGTATATGCTGATCATGACGATCCTTCCCGACCGTGTGACTTTAACATCCCGCTGTTCTTTCTTTGCGTTGAGTTTTGCGAAAGCCTGCTCCTTTTGCCAGTCATTTACAGCTGTGACGAGAACGACAATAACGATGGCGACCACGACAGCACAGCCCTCGACCCAGTCGACAGGCGGAGGAGAGCCAGGCGGATGGTCCACGCCAAATGTCTCATAGAGACCGAGTGCCAAGGATATTGCAGCTGCTACAGTAAGAACTATCAGCATTGTGTCGTTGTATGCATTCCAGACTAGTCTCCATATAGGCGTGGCTTTCTTAGGCGGGAGGGCGTTCCGGCCGTGGACTCTGATTCGATCTTCAAAGGGCTGCCCGCCGGTTGGTATTCGGTCCGATGGCTTCTCTTTGGTGGCTGTCTGCAGGTTCGTCGCTTCGTCAAAGGAAATATGTCGTGGCACTGTGCATTCATCGGCACTGAGTCCTGCGTGGATGTCTGATTGCAAGCCAGCAGCAATTCCGTGGAGACCGCCCAGAGCATGGTAGACAGCTAATGACTTTGGGTTTAGGAGTTTGCTCAGCTGTGAGGGTCGGAAAGCAAAGGGGTTGTTTGTATCCGAGGCGGCCTCTGCGCGCAGTTCTTGTTGTACGGCGGCGTCATACTCGCTGACGACGGTAGATGCGTCACTTGGTGATATCGGTGTCCGGAATGGGTCTGATGTTTGCGAGGTGATGGTGTCGGCCTGGCTTAGCGCGCGCTGCCGGGTGTTGATGTGGAGTGTGGGAGGGGCGAGCTTGCCCGTCTCCATGGTGAAGAAAGAAAGAAATCTAACAAGACAGGCCCAGTCGCTGGCAAAGGTGAAGAGAGGAGGAATAGGGTCGTGCTTGATGAGATTAGGGGCACGTGCAAATGGGACTGATGAGCGGAATTCCGGTATGGCGAGGGGTGAAGGTCAAGCCGCCATATAGTCGCTGACCTCGAGGAAGGCTGTGTAGTCGGCCCCATAACCAAGCCTACTGGGCGCTTGGGTGCGCGAAATTCATCTGGCTGATGATACAAGCTCTGCCAGAGCCCCCCGCGCTTGGCACGATGGCGCTTCTCTGTGGAGATGGGACGTCTCTCGCCGTGGGCTGCGTGACCAGGGCAGTGACCGGACCAGCCGTGGGAGACACGGGCAAAACCTGCCAGCAGCCTGCCATTGCCGCGCTGGATACCGCATTGTCTGGGAGTCGCCAAGGCTGTCGAGAATGAATGTTTTGGCGACTAGAACCTTTGGAGGCGAGATGAGCACAACACAAGCTGTCCGGTGGTCTTGGAAGGGGGCAGTGCACATCTCTCCGCGCCTGGGGGGCACGGACACCCCAGCTTCCGTCCCGACACAGGGCAGCAGAACGTGGCATCGAGCCCGCCAGAAGAGAGCGAGAGCGTAGAGGCTGCTGGGACGGGGCAAGACGGGCAAGTATCGTGAAGTTGCGATGGAACCGCCCACTGCAAGCCGATGCGCAGATCGGCCCAGGCACCCGGCCTTCTCATTGGTCGATCGTGAGGCTTAGCTGCGTGGCGCATGTGCTTAGCCTCACGGTTCAGCTGGCCAGTGATTGGGCCGAGCCACATCTTGCCACAGGCACGTGACCTGGCCGCCGCACGAGCTGTCCCGGGTCCAGAGCGCCTCTCTTATTATTATTATTATTATTATTCTAGTTTAACGTCCTTTTTCAGCCCGAAGGGCTATATAAGACGTGTAGGGTTTTTAGGCCTACAAGTATCTAAGTAGGTTGTTTCTAGCTACGATATTTAGGAGGGGTTTAGAGCGCCTCTCTTGCTTCTTCGCTTCTTCGCTTCTTCGCTCTGCCGTCTCTTTTCCTTTCAATCTGCAACAGCTTCGACTTCAGCGCTGTCTGCAGGCTGACCTCAATCTAAGAGAGAGAGAGGCTGCGAGGGGCCGTCAGTCTGCCTTGCCTTGGCACCCCCATTGGCTCGGTCTTATTCTCAGCACTTCATGTCTCGCCTTCCGCTCCAGGTCAACGCTCCGTGCACGGCGAATGCTGAAGGTTTGTGTGTGTATGCCAGGCGACATGGTGGCAAATGGCCATTTCCAGCACACCTACACTGAGCTCCGTTCAGCAGTCGTCGTCTCCACAGCCCAGCCTCGACATGGGAGGCGTATCAAGGGCAGATGACGCATGTGCCGAGGCCTGGCTCCTTGAGCATGCACCGGCTGAGACGTCATTTCGGCGACCTGCTCAGCACCCTGCTGTGCACATTCCAGGCGGATTTTCTCAGCTGGCAGCACATGCTCAAACACCAAGGCACCACGTCTTCTCGCGCTGGCTGGCTGTGTGTCTTGGTGCTTCGTTGGCAGAATTCTGGTTCGCTATCTGCTGTGCTGCCATGACAAGCACTCCCTAAGCCAAGCGCTGTTATCGCCTCCGACCAATATCGCCCCAACAAAAAGCAGAAATTTTGCCGCTCGAGAAGTCAAGCCAGAACTGCGCCGCCTTGTCGAATCCTCTAGCACTTCCCCCCCAAAGAGACCGTGACCTTGGAGTCCAGACCTCTTCACAAGCGTCTCAGCCTCGCTCTGGGTCGTCAAGCCCTTCCGTTGCGTAATAGACAATGTCTAGCGTAATCCCCCAGCCACTCTTGAAGAGTAGCAGATTGAATGTACTTACGTACCGGCCCTTCAGCCCCCTTATGTCTTGGATTGCAAACATTTCATTCTTCTGGCCATCTAAGCTCGTTGCCTTTAGTTGGCAAAGCCAAGTCCTACACAAGACAGCTCAGCACACGTGTCCATGTTCATTGGGTCCTTCATAGTGCCAACACGACGAGCTCTAAAGGGTGCAGATAGTCTCCCCTCAAGCTCCACCCGCTTGTTAGCACTCTCGTGGATGATTTCTCGCTTACGCTTCTTGCCCTGATCGATCTCAACCGCTCTCTTCCTCAACTTCAAATCGCCATGGCTGTTGACATGCAATCTCGGCTTGGCACCACCACCACCAGCGGCAACATTGTCGTTCTTCCTATGAAAGAATCCCAGCTTCGTATCCTCACTCTTTTCCGTCGCAATAGCATTGCGTGAGGTTCTCGCTGCTTTAAAGCCATTGACCGTATATGGTTTGTTGTTCTTGGTTGTATCAACGATGCTCATGCTTCGTGGTGGTGGTAGATGAGCGATGGATGTGGTCGAAGGCCGTTGGGTCTTCAATATGGAGGATTTACTCGATCTGGATGGCACTGAGAAAGAATTGGGATAGGGTGATAGGCTAAGTCTTGTCCCTAAGCCCGTTGGAACGGGCCCAGATACCATGTCTGGACTAGGGCCGAAGGGCTTACGCCGGTCAGTTGCTGGTGATGCGCGAGCACAAAGAGAGAAACTTACTTCATCATCTAGTCCGGCGTCTAGCTCGGAAGCTTTCATCCGAGGATGAGCGACCTTTTCCCTGGCTTGATTCCTGGCCTTGACACTGTCGGTACCATTGGTCCGGATTCCAGGCCCGCTTGTTTCCGACGTCTTTCTAACGTCCAGCCCCCAAGAAGCCAAAGCAAGGAGTACCTGGTAGTATGTACCCTTAGCATGACTCATTTGCGAACCACATCCAAGTAGCTTCAGATTTTCCATATCAACACGATAGTGGTCGATTTGCTGTTCCAGTACAGCAACAGCCGTCTCAATAGCCTCGTTGTTCTTCAGCAATGGCATCAAACCTTCAAGTGCCAACTGGACTAGTCGACAGCGCTGTTCAAGCGTCTTTATTGCAGTGTCCTTGATACGCTGGAACGTTGCATCTTGGGAAGATGTAGGCTGTTTTCGTAGCGCAGCCTGGCGCCTTGGGCTTATATTGTGTCCACTGCCCTTCTCAAGAAACAGCGCCTTGCGATGCTCGTTTTCTTTAGCCAGTGTGTTCCTCTTGGTGTTCATAAGATTGTGCTTCTTGGGGATGGGGTCGAGCTCATCTCGCTGTCCAATTCTTGGCTTTTTCATGTCGAGATGCATGGAGTGAGGATTTGAAGCCGTGTTGTGGTTCACTGCGATACTTGCCTTGTGCGCTTTTTTAGGTGCTTGCTTTTCGATGGCTCCCTTGAAATGTTGAAGTGTAGCTTCAGAGGCTTTCTGAGGAATTTGTTTCAATCCAGAAGACGAATCGAGAGCTTTCCTAGCAACCATGGCGGACTTTCTTGCTGCCTCTGCACTGGCGCTCATCATCTTGATTTCTGAGCCTCTGTTGACAACTTTTACCTTTTTGATAACAGGCTTAGATGCGATTCCAGAAGCCCTGGCATCGTTGATTGATTGCATGGCTGTCGGGGAGGTAGGTATTCCACGAAATCTGCCCAACCCCAAATGTTTACCAGGTAGACGCTATAAGGGGTGTTCTTGTCTGAATATAATGCGGGCTGACTTGCTATAGAATGAGCAGGGGCAAAGGTCAAGGTGAATACTCTGCTGAGTGAGTTGTAGGGTGAGTTTAGATAAGCCTGTGGCAGTGGAAGCTCAAAAGGGTGGAAACGGATCTTGAGCATAGACAAACACACCCAATTGAAAATTACGCATTGTGTACAGTGAAACGGCCAGTTTAGCAGGATCAAACAATGAGAGCGAGCCGAATAGATGGATTGAAATCAGGAAAATTCCACAATGCGCTGTGTTGATGATAGACACAGTGTCTATGCATTCAGGACAAGGCATGCTGGCCACTAGCCTGTGCAACCAAGATTTATTCTATCGGACATGCGAATGTGCGTCTAAAGTTGCCACCAAGACTTTGTACAAGGGTTTCCCCAAGCATCTGCAAGTTTCCCCGTGATATCATGCGTCGTTACTGTATCTCCAAGAGAGCCTGCGGGGTATTCACTCTCAGTTCGTATGCGGCATTTATAGCTCCTCCTTTTCGACGCCATCGATGGACATGAGCTCGGACTCGAAGACTGGCGCATGTTAGCTGAACGCTACTTGCAAGATGTCGCAGTGCGACTTACTCAGAACGCTGTTCGGAGGGATAGGGCCAGCACCGCGCGAGCCATAGGCCCAATCGGGTTGGATGGTGAGCTTCCTCTTCTCTCCCGGGCACATGTCAAGCAGACCCTGGTCCCAGCCCTTGATGACCTGGCCCTGGCCGACGGTGAAGCTCAAGGGCTCGCCGCGGCCGTAGGAAGCGTCGAATTCGGTACCGTCCGTCAGAGTTCCGCGGTAGTGAACATTGATCTTGTCGCCAGCCTGCGTCTTGCGAGTACACTTGGCAGGAGTGAGGACCTCGGTCTTGAGGTGCTGTCGACGCGGTTAGCATGCTGTGGACCGCATATGTGCCTTTGGTTTGCTGACCTCATTGTTGATGATGTCGGCCATGGCGGCCGTAGCCAGTGCGATGAGCAATGCGACCTTCATGTTTGAGGTTTGGACTGTGTATGGAGACGTTGTCTTTGGAGCTGGAGAGAGAGTAAAAAGCAAGGCAACGTTGCAATGGCTGCGCGAAGGAGGGCGGTGACCCCAAGTGGGGAAGCATGCCAAGCAGCCATCTGGCGTTAAATGAACGACTAGCAGGGATGTCGCTGGATCCCGCATAGCCCCTCGGTACCACCAACATCGACTGCGCTAGAGGCTATCATGGAGAGGCTGACATTGTACAGAGCGAATCATCTTGTTGCTCTCAAAGCTGAAGCGCCTGTCATTGTCATTTCCTCAGCTGCGCGTAAGTATCGGCATTGTGCGACAAAATCTGGCTCTATTCGTGTACTTACGTTTGTTCGGATGCAGGAGCACGAGGCGAACCCTTTTATGGTATATTAAAGAAAATTAAAACACTCACCCAAGAGTTCTAGACAATGGCGCGGAGAACAAGAACTCAAAGAGCAAGCCAAGTATCCTGGATCTACCCGTTGGGTTGAACAATGTGGTTTGGTACACAGACAGTGTAGCGCGCAGACTCCTTGAGTGTCGACTGCACCTTCACCAGTGTCCGTTGCGCATGACTGTTTATGGAGGGGGTATCGCATCAATATCGGGTATATATTGTTGGATGATATAAACAAATCTCAAGCAAAATGTGCATTAATGCCCGGGCGATGATGTGGGCAGGTTGCAAACAACTCGGACTAGCTCAGCTCGGCATAATCTTCTATTCACATGCTTCTGGTACCTTGCGTCCAAACAATGGGAGATACAATTGGTTTCAAAGTCATGTGTGCCGGTATAAAGAGAGCCATGCTGCTTGCTATCCAGTAGCACCAGAGTAGGCTGGCCAAGCGCTATGCGGCCGATAAAAGTATAGACTATGCAAAACCAAGCAAGCGTCATCATCGTGCACCAAAGTATCCACCAAATAAAAAGACTAAGCCTACCCTGGGAGAAAAGACGGCAGCATTACATCAATAGTAAGTACCCTTTTTCAGCCCAATCATGCCCTCTTCTCTCCCCTTGCTCTTAACCGCCTTCAGCCCAAAGTCCCTCAGCTCTCCATCGTTCAAAAACGTGTTGGCAAGCTCGGCAGCAACATCGAAACCCGTCTTCCTTGGCCCTGACGTGTTGGAGCAGTTGAAACTGCCAAATACCGGTAGAGCTGTTGCGATGCCCGGGAAATGGACCTCTTTAATAGCTTGTCCTTTGCAGTCGAATCGTGTGTACAGAGTGCACACAGTACCCTCGTCAGGACCAAGTGACTCGATGCCCGCCGGACTGCCTTGAATGTGACATTCTATGTTGGGTTGCGTCCAGCTGCATATTCCGGCGAAGTTTGGTTGTGTGCATGTATAGTATGCCCCTGGAAGGCCACGTCGGGCGAGGTGGCGGGATACTGAAGATGCTGAAGTTGTGTAGAATATCGAGAAGAGGGTGACTAAGATGATGGCAATGGTAGACATGTCGGGATCTGGTTGGAGGATGGTGGCGATGATGATTAAGAATTACTTCGAGAAAGAACTTGTTTGGGCTTGCGTGTATGCGTTTGCGTTTGCGTACGCGTACATGCAACCTCCACAGGACTGAGCTTGCTGTTTCAGTTGGCTTTATGAAGATTGGGAGATTTGCAGGACCGTGCCCTGCTTCTTTGTTAGCTATGTTGGACGTGACCGAACCCATGCGCAACGTTGCACGAAAAGGAGAGTTTAGCACTATGCATACCTCTAAGCAAACTTGACGCTTACTGTGTCTAGCACAAAAAAATCAATAAAGTCGGTCCGTTGCTGCCAGCAATTATTGGCAGAAGGAATGCGATGTGTGATGGGTAACTCCATGGCGACGTATTCGCCGCGGGTGCTCAACAGGCCATGCGAAAACAAACTGTATATGCAGGGAACGAAGCGTCAAAATACCGAAAACTGTCGGAAACTGGAGAAGGGCGAGGGTAATATGTGCTATGGTGATCCAGGCGCGAGCCGCGGTCATGGGGCGGCTGGGGGTGGGCAGGGCTGTGTGAAACGTCGATCCGGCGGGGCTAAGGATGGATGCGACCAAGAAGGTCGCAGTACTCACCAGGCGGATGACCAAGTGGCATTACACCCGCATTATCGCGCGGTCAGATGGCGAGGGAACCTAGCTAGTACCGTCAATGTGCAGCTGCCAAGCTGTCGTTGCCGGTAGGAGTTTGCATTTGGCTTGACAGCTATGACATGGATTGGTGGATAAGTAAGTATGATCGTCAGGCACGGAGCTCCCGCACGGCTGTAGCTGGCTGCACGCTGGTGACGCAACCGTGGCGGCCCCCCGGTATGAAAAATGTTCCAGTTGCATTCTTTATTTAGTCCTTTTGCGACCTGTTCAGACAACATGTTCGTTATGGGCGTCGTTGCAATCTGAAGGCAGCTCATTCTACTTGAGTACGGGCCGAGTCGATGTGCAAACCCCAACGCTTGGGTTGGACCGTCATATGTTGGGTGGGATAGAGTTGGTCAGCTGAGTAATTTCCCAGACTAAGTTTGAATTCATTTCTCTCCAGTCTGCTATTCAAAAGAAGTCGTGCGTAACAGGCCTAGCTCGGGTTCGGGTTGTTCACTTGAGGGTATCCCGTCTGGGATTTGCGACAGACTTGCCGGAACTGTGCATATGTATCTTGGCCCCACTTTGCACCAGACACGAAGAGGGTGACTGCGTGTGCAAAGCAGTGCTTCTGGCTTGGTCTGGAGAGTGAATGATCGAATTGGGTCGTCAGCCACGTGCCTCCCGGACGCAAGCAACGACTTGGCAACGCTCTTGGCAGGCCCGAGAGCATGGTAGCTCTTGGTTTTATCTGATAGCATATGGAGCGAAGGCCTGGCCAGAGGATTACAGAGCCGCTTGGAGTGTGTGCGAAACGCTTGAGAACCACCGTGTTGGAGATGGGCGCCATAAGTAGCATTGAGCACGTTTCGTGACTCGACCAAAGCTGGATGCCGTTGCTGCCAGGCATTCACGTAGCAACGCGTCGTCACGCCGCCGGCGAAATCAATGTGATTTGAGATTGCCCCAGGACGGCGGGCAAGGCCTCGGGCCGGTCAGCGTTGCGCAGCATTATTGCGCATGCTCCACGAGGAGTTGCGGTCTCCGAAGCGATAAAACGCGGTACGTTTTGGCTAGACCAGACTGGGGCGGGTCGGGATGATTCAAAGCAGACGCTCAGACGAGTTTCGTACGGCCATTGGGCTGCGGGACGGTGGGTTGAAGAGGCCGTGCCGAACACGGGCTGCGTGCGTATATGTGCGTATGCTGAGTGCAGAGCGAAGAGATGAAGGGACTCCAGACCCGATGAGGCATGGCAGAACCGCCGGGGAAAAGGGCCCGAGCTCCGTCGGGGTCGGGCCGAGTGAGCCGCCAGCACCAGCACAAAACCTCCGCGCCACGTCCCGACCCAACACATATACGGACGGGCACACGGCATGTTGATAGCCCGGAGAAGACAGCTGTGCTGCATGCGCCCTGCGTTTGCTGTTCGTTTCTGCCAGAGCGCCGCTGCGATGGAGAAGCGCGACTATGCGGTATGCCAGTCATCCATCATCTACATGCCTCTCCACGGTGGTGACTGCGGACGGCGCTGACGGGTGCAGGCTGCGGTCGCGGCGCTGAACACGCTGCAGTCCAACTTTTCCATTGTCGATGCCATCCGGAAGTCCGGCCGCGGCATGAACAAACAGGCGATACCAGAAATGATCGAGTGGTGTCGCAAAACCGGATATGAGGTGTGCGGCTCCCACCAACCCCGCATCAGGCCCACGACTGACTAAACATACAGCCCGCCGACTTCGATCGACTGAGGCCCGTCCACATTGCCGGCACCAAGGGCAAAGGCTCCACAAGCGCCTTCATCTCGTCGATTCTCTCGCAGTACACGTCTCCTTGTGCGCCACAGGCCACGCCCCCCTCCAAGATCGGGCTCTACACCTCGCCGCACCTGCGCTTCGTGCGCGAGCGCATCCAGATCGACAATGAGCCCATCTCAGAGGAAAAGTTTGCCAAGTACTTCTTCGAGGTATGGGACAGGCTCGAGGCGGCGGCCAAAACAGAAGGCTCGCCTGCAGACGTGCCGACAAAGCCCGTATACTTTCGCTATCTGACACTCATGGCGCTGCACGCATACCTCAACGAAGGTGTCGACTCGGCCGTCATAGAGTGCGGCATTGGCGGCGAATATGATAGCACCAACATCTTGACCACGCCCACCGTTACAGCCGTGACCAGCTTGGGCATAGATCATACGGCGATGCTAGGCTCCACGCTTCCCGAGATCGCGTGGCACAAGGCTGGAATCTTCAAGGAGGGCAGCGTTGCCATGACGGTGCGCCAAAAAGACGAAGCAATGAAAGTGCTACAGGAGCGAGCCGCGGAAAAGGGCGCGAAGCTGCACATTGTCGACGTGCACCCAAGACTGGCAAACAACGAAATCAAACTTGGACTGGGCGCTGCATTCCAAAAGATCAACGCATCAGTAGCCATTGCTGCCGCAGCTGCTCATCTGCGTGCGCTCGGCCACTCGTCCATCCCAGACCCGACGGCTGTTCCACACATTGAACTCCCCCCCGAGTTTGTTCGTGGTCTGGAACAGGTGCGCTGGGCGGGCCGATGCGAGATACGGCGCGAGCCCAATGTCGCATGGCACATTGATGGCGGGCATACCATGGAGAGCATCGAGGTGACTGGCCAGTGGTTTGCCGAGCAGATCAAAGCTGCTACTTCAACGTCGGCATTTGATTCTCAGATTCCCCGGATCCTCATCTTCAACCAGCAAACGCGAGATGCAGGTGCGCTGGCCAAGGCCCTGTATGCGACTCTGCAGAGCGGCATGACTTGGGGCTCAACGTCGCCCTTTAGTCATGCCATCTTCACGACCAACCAGACGTTCAGCGAGGGCTACAAGCCTGACCTGGTGGCCATCAACACCAACCAGCAAGAGGTCGACAGCCTAGCTGTGCAGAAGGCGCTTGCAAGCACATGGTCGGAGATTGACAGCACGGCAGAAGTGCATGTGCTGCGTACAATCGAAGAAGCGGTTGCGACGGCGAGAAAAGTAGCACGCAGCTACGCGACGAGGGCGGGTGCTGAAGCTGAAGTTATGGTGCTGGTGACTGGCAGCCTGCATCTAGTTGGCGGTGCGCTGGAGGTACTGGAAACAGAGACGACGCGATAGCCATAGGGCAGAAGCAATTCATCCGTTCATTGCGAAAGTACGTGGCCATGGTGCACCAGTGTCGTTTGCTAGTGTGCTCCGGGACGAGAATGAGAAGGAGGGTGAGAATGAGTCTGACTCAGCCAACAGCCGGGCATGCAAAAATCGAACGAGATGAACTAAGCATGTGAGAGCAGCACAGCGACAGTGACAGCGCCCACACAACAAGGCTTGACGGCATTGGTGCTCGTCTTGGTACGCAGGAGCTTCGGGAAACATCGGAATGTTTTGACGAGCGCCCACCGGCCGCGCATCCTCGCAGCCTGTTAAGCACCTGCACCCGACATGGCTGGCGGTGGCTATGTTGTAGTAGGCGACGAAGAAGAAGAAGAAGAAGAAGAAGAAGAAGAAAAAGAGTCGACAAGTGTCTTGCAGGCCAGGTCTCTGAAGACACAGGGCGTCAGCGGGTGAGCGGCTGTGCGCGTGCAGAGTGTGGCGCTGGAGGCTGGAGGGCGGGGGCTCTGGGGTGGGTGGGTGTCTTGGCGCGGCTGTGTGGTTGGCCAGCGCCAAAGCACAAGAGCCGCTAGCCGTCGACGAACTAGCTCGCCCAGAGGTCATATAGCCCGTCCCCGTCCCCCATCATCATCATACACATCTCCACGTCATCTTTGCAGCCCGTCTGCTGTTTTTTTCTCTCAGCCCGTTTCCAGTCCGGCTGTCCTCTGCCAGCACGAGAGGTTTTTTTCCAGCCATTGCTGTTCCTCAACAGCATACGTTTTGTGCCAAACATGAACTGCCCTTCTAGAACTGACGACGATATCCTCTGGCATCCCGGATGGAATCAGAACCCACCACGCTTTGCGCCCGATCTCACAACCTGCGCCGATCTCAACGGCATTGCAAATGCGAGGGAATTGGGCGAGGCAGATCGACTGTGCAACCCACAGAACCTCCGGCCCTGCAATCCATATCATGTCAATGGCCAAGAGATAGAAAAAGACAAGCCCATAACCATGGGCGAGGGTGCCAAAGGGTCCCCTAAAGGTGAGTACTTTCCCTTACAAAAACCCTACAACATCGGGTGTGCACACCACGCTGACGTGTTCCTTTCTTTTTTGCTCCTGCAGGACCTTGCACCCGAACAACCTCGCATGTGACCGAGTACCCAGCTGGCCTCACCGACACCATCATGGCCTGGGCCAAATGGCTAGCCTCTGTGCTCTGCACCGCAGTCTTAATTTCCCACGTTAGTGGCAATGTAGCTGCCCCCAAATTCCTGCTTTCTCAGGGTAAGTATGTCCATTTGTCCACGGATGGTGTGCTTTCCCATAGTAACCCTGTACAGAAGCCTCGATGCCACGGCTGCCGAGACGCAGCACTTGTGAAGATGGCAAAGCGCATCCCGACTACGATCTACCTCTCCATGTCGGCGGTCTCTTCATCATCCTGTTTGTATCAGGAACGGGATGTGCCTTTCCCATGCTTGTGCTCAAGTTTCCGCGCCTGCGCATCCCTCCATCCTTCCTCTTTGGCGCCAAGCACTTCGGCACCGGTGTACTAGTCGCAACAGCCTTTGTGCACCTGCTTCCTACGGCCTTTGATTCGCTGGGCGATCCATGTCTGTCGAGTTTCTGGACTACCGACTATCAGGCCATGCCCGGCGCCATCATGCTGGCTAGCGTCTTTTTTGTTACCTTGATTGAAATGATATTTTCTCCAGCGCGCCATGTCTGCGGCGGAAATGAGGGCGTGGCTGCTGTATCGCGCCAAACCCAAGAGCCCAAGGCTGAGACGAAGCAGCAACCTGACACACCGCCGCCCGCCCTGGAACGCACTGATTCCAACTCGAGCTTGCGCGTGCGCGATCTCGGTGCCTTGAAAGGCAGAGTCGGAAGCATCAGCAGAACACTGTCCCGATACCGCGAAGACGGCCAGAGACTCGACGCAATTGAATCCGTCGAAGGATCAGAATCTGAAGAGGCAGCTGTTGCACACCGCAAGTTGGAGAGCGACGACCATGTCACTCCACCAGACCATGAAAAGGGCGAGCACGGACACCTTCTCTCGCCCGAGCAGATTCACAGGAAAGCAATTATGCAGGTTTTTCTTCTGGAAATGGGCATCTTGTTCCACAGCATCTTCATTGGCATGTCGCTTGCTGTGTCGGTGGGCAACGACTTTACCGTCTTGCTCATCGCCATTGTGTTCCACCGTGAGATTGCCCTGACGCTATTGCATAGATTATACTGCATGCTGACTGATACACGACAGAAACCTTTGAAGGTCTTGCACTTGGCGTGCGCATTGCAGACGTCAAATGGAAGCCCAAAGCCCTTCAGCCATGGCTCATGGCTCTCGCCTATGGCTGCACGTACGTCTAGACTCTCCTTGATAGCACACGCTTTGTACTTACTAGCTGCAGCACTCCGGGCGGCATGGCCATTGGCATCGCAACCCACACGCTGTACTCTCCCGATTCAGAAATCGGCCTCTTGGTCGTGGGCATCATGAACGCCATTTCGGCGGGGTTCCTCGTCTATGCGTCTCTGGTCGAACTCATGTCGGAGGATTTCCTCAGCGACGAGAGCTGGAAGGTGTTGACGGGCAAGCGCAGGGTGTATGCTTGTCTGTTAGTGTTTGTAGGCGCCTTTTTGATGAGTTTGGTGGGCGCCTGGGCGTAGATGTCCCCGACGAGACGATGGATTGATCGAGTCGACTGTTGCTGGAGGGAGATGCTAAGAAATTGTCCAAGAATATGTTGTGTGAAGATGGGTTGATCCAGTGGATCGTTGCTGGAGGGGGACGTTGACAAATTGCCAAACAACTTGTTGTGCGAAGATGCTAATCAAACTTCCAATTAAACGGTAAATAGAAATTCTGTACATTTGAAGTCTTGCAGAGAGAGATATTTTACATACAATCACAGCTGCTCTACACACTCGGCTAGTATCTGGCACAGGGGAAACTCCAACTCACCATTCCCGTATTCGTATACACCCTCGCCACCAGCCACAGCATTCACATTCTTCCTCATAACCAGCTGTCCCCTCGTCTGCACCGACCACCTGACCACACCATCCTCGACCCCCATCAACGGCTCGTCTGCTGTTGCTGCTGCTGCTGCTGTCCCCGTACCCGCAGGCAACACCAACAAGCCTGAATTGGCAGAAGATGGCGTCTGCCGTGCCGCAAAAACACAAGGCGCCTTCCACACCTCCTTTACCACGCCTCTAAACCCCTCAAGCCGCTGCTTGTCCCCCAGAAAAACCCCAAATCCAAACTTGGTCGTCGTCATTGCATTCTCCACGGCAAATTTGTGCCCAACATGTAGCGCGACGCGCACATGGCCGTGCTTGGACATGATGTCTCGATCGAGGAGCTGTGTAAGCGTGCGAGCCATGTCGAGGGGCACCAGCGCGGCTTTCCGCTTGTTATTCTTGCTCTTGAGCGCGCCGTCCAGCGGGTCCCAGAGCACGTGGATATCGTACTTTGCTACTTTTCTCAGCCACGGATGCAGTTTGGCTAGTTTGCGGAGATGCGTGGCTATTTTCTTGTCCCAGTCGCCTTGGGTGAAGGTGTTGATGCGGCCTTTGAAGTGCACCGCGATTTGCAGCGACACGCCGTTGTTGAGCAGCCACGAGGCGTACTCGCGCACCTCGAGGTAGCGGGTGAGGGGCAGGGCGAGCAGCCCGGTTGATCCATGGTGGATGGGACAGATTTGCACGGTTGTGTGTTTGCAGAGGAATGTCTTGAGTTGCAGGGGGAGGTGCAGGTTCATGGGTCGCGAGTCGGCACCAGGGGTAGAAAGGTAGGTGTAGATTTCGTTGCGGAGCTCTGGGGGAAGATCCGGGAACAAGAGGTTTGGCTCTGAATGCATCTTGTGTGATGGTTGGTGTTTCTCCAGGACAGGATGGATACAGGGCCGTTGGATACGTGGATTACCCGTTTGCTCACGCAGATGCCAACGGGGTAACCTTGCTGAGTCGGACTCGCGGGACGTGCAAGTAGTAGAAGCTGATGTAGACACTTGGAGACTGTTGTAAACAGGGACCGTATTGGAGATTCAACCCTGGCTTCCTGTGGAGCGGCCTTGGGCACAACGGTTGATCAGACAATACAACAACAGCCGTGCGTGAACGACCAATCACGTGATGGCGTTGCCTGTTGCCCGGGGTGAAGACGGCAAGCCGCACGGCTTCCAAGACGTCAGTGAAGTGTGCCGCATGCTTGGAGAAGGTGATGTACCTCTTATTGCGAGAATAGGGAATACCGTTAATTCAGAGTTTGAAATTTTTGCTGAAGAACAATTTTTCCGGAGTGGTCGCTTCGGCCGTGGCTCGGCACCTTGCGGTTTTAGGAAGCGGCGACGATGGTGGATCTCGACTTGGACGCGCCGTTGACAAGCGCCGGGGTCTTGTTATATTGCCCATCTGCAGGTGTTGGCCTCGTGCTTGTATGTGCCGTGTGCGCCCTTTTCCCTGTGTAGCCCTCGTCGGCAAGGGCGGAGGGGAAACTCTCGTACCTTGGTGGATGGCATCTGAAGATTCAGCATGCGAAGCGAGAAAATTACATGGTGAGTACGGATATAAGCAAACTATGGTTTACCCAGGGTACAGGGTACAGGGTACAGGGCACGGGGTACAAGGTTAGTCGGCCGTGGCGTGGATGCTGCGACTACATGTTGTCGGCTGGTGCAGTGTGTGAGGCGAAAGGAGGTGGAGATGCAAAAGTCAAGATGCGGCCTGATGGGTTGATAAATGCATTTGCTATCCGTCCTTTGACTCACCCAGTCTTGAGAGACGGTGAATTCCGGCCAGAATCGACTGCGCATGGTCCGTGCGCCAACCCAAGAATGGTCTCACCAAAGCTCGTCATGGCCATGCATCGTAAACGACAGTCGACATTAGAAATATTCAATCGACTACATATACCGTCTTGACATTCGTGAAGCGCCTGCAACACCGTCCCAGTCAACGCCAATCCGCCTGCTTTTGCTGTGTCATGTACACATGTATGTGTCTAGAGGGCCTCGGCAGCCGCCTTTGCCTTTTCAACCCTCGCGCGCTTTCGGCGCAGGTTCTCAGCCTCCGTGTCGCGCTTGTTCTCGCCGTATTCGATGCGCTTCAGCAGCTTGCGCTTCTTGTTCGACAGCATCATCTTTTGCCTCTCGCGCTCCTCCTCTTGCTCGCGCCTCTTCTTGTCCGCCTTCTTGCGGATGGCTGCATTCTGCTCCTTCTTGGTCGGCTTCTTGACCTCGAGCTTCTTGCCCGTGGCCTCAGCCTCCAACTCGCGCTGGTGCTGGAGACGAGCAGCCTCGCCCTCGGAAATGTCCGACTCGGCATCAGAGTCGAAGCCGTCAAAGTCATCGCCCGCGTCACCGTCCTCCTCTGACTCATCGTCGTCACTGTCATCCTCGGAATCGGCCACATCCATGCCCTCGCCAACTTCAACCGAACCCTCTCGGTCGACAATGGCCTCCATATCCTCGTCGCCGTCTACATCAAACGTCGCCTCCTCATCGCCTTCGTCTTCAAACGCCTCAGCCTCACCCTCGGGCTGTTGCGCCGTAAGAGGCAGGTTGGGGTCGTACTCGCCCTTCTTGGGCTTCACCCATGGGCTCAGATGTGGGGGCAGATCGGCACCCGGGGAGTAATGGTCAGGACGCAGCAGCTTGCTCTGGTTGATGCAGTCCCACACCCATTGCGGCTGGACATAGGTGCGGCCGGGCATCATTGAATATGGCCACTGGGCTTTGGGAGCAGCAGCCCCGCCATTCTGAGTTTCAGCAACCTCCGGGGCAGGTGCTCCGTTTGACAAGGCTGGACGGTCGACAATCTGATGTGTGATGTTGGGGTCCGACTCGTTGGTGGTAAAGGCGCCGTCGCCTAGTGTGCCGTCCCAACCAACGCGCTTGCAGCCAAAAGCCTTGAGTATGAACTCGAGCGGTCCTCTGGGTGTCTCTCGCGAGAGATAAAACGTAAATGGAGCGAAAAGAGAGGCGACCTCGGCGCTGCTTGCTTGCGGCTGGGGCAGGACATCGGCGTCGGGTGCAGTCGGCTCGAACTTGTCAATCTCTTCGTTGGCCTCGTAGTCGCCGTCGTCTTCTTCGTCTTCGCTGCGCTTGGCTACAGCGGTTGTGTCCTGCGCATCCTCGTCATCTGGCATTGCAGCAATCTGGTCGGCGATGGCCTGTGCCTCTGGGTTGATCTTGGCATTCTCAGCGTGTCCATTTGCGGAGCTGGTTGTGGCATTGGCCTTGGCTTGGAGTTGGAAGGCAGAGAGCTCACCACCCTGCTCGTCGCTCTTGGCATTGAACTTGGGTGGGTACACGAGGCCAATGGACGTGTACAGGCGGTAGTTGACAAAGCCGAGAAGAGTGGTGTAGAACTCGACAAATGTGCCCATGATCCTGAAGTCAATATCGCCGCCGGTTCGCTGGACGAAGCGGTATGGCACCAGCCAGAGAATGTCTTGGCCTTGGATGGTGGCCTGGTAGTAGATGCCCTTGATGGAGAGGAACGACTTGCGCAGGGAGTGCGACGTGATGACATAGTGCTCGAACTCGCGCGTCAGGCGCTGGCAGAGGGCAATCGTCTTTGCGGGAATGTGCTCGCTCGAGGGCAGGTTGGCGAAGAGAAACAGCATGGAGAGGGCGTCGTCGAGATCGCGCAGGGCGTCGACAAAGGTTGGGTAGCGCTCCTTGATGATGTGATCGAGCTTGACCTTGGGCATGAGGTTCTTCTCCAGGCGCGAGGCATCGCCCGCCTCGCCGCGGCCGAGGGCGCGGCCAATCTTCTTTGCGACGGCCTTGTGCTCGCGGAACTTGGCCAGCAGCGGCTCATGGAGCAGGTACTGGATGTCCTTTGTGTAGTAAAAGGTGGTGGCGGCCGTGGAGCCGCGGGCGACCTTCTTCTTGTTGCGAGGCTCGCGGGGGTAGATGCCCTTGAAGATGCATAGGCGGCGGAAGTCTGGCAGAGAGATCTGAAGCTTCTTGACGGCGCGCGTGCGGGTGATGTAGTTTTTGGCCGCACCCGAGGTGCCTGTGGACTGGATCAGCATGCATGTGGTGGGATTGGCGAGTTGCGCGGGGACGGACCTTTCTTCTTGCTACGGCCGGCCATGGTGGATCTGGGGGGGTGAAAGTCGGTGCAGGTCGTGATGCAACTTTTGGCGGGCGCAAAAAAGTTCGAGATGCGGCCGGCTAGTGGACAGGGATGCGCCGTTAGCGCGCCGGCGCCGACAAGGGTCCGCCGCCGTGCATGTTGCCAGAACATCACCACCACCACCATCACCATCACGACGCCGCCGCCGCCGCCGCCGCCACAGAGGCCATGGAGCCCAGCTCGTGACTCTGCCCACCCCGCAGCCCGCTCGCCATGGCCATTGACAGGCGGCAGAAACTGCTGCTCTTCGGAGCAGCCGCCGCCGCCCGTCTGCTCCTCTTCACCGTCTTCCCCACGCTGCCCAGTCTCCTTGCTGGCCGCGTCGAGGTCTCCACGCCAGTGACGAGCTTCAAGAGACGTACGCCACGCCTGCCGCCACGGCGCCTGCGCGCTGCTTGCTGACACGACACAGTGCAAGAAGGCGTCTTCCTCTACACACACAATGTCTCGCCCTACGACGGCGGCGTCTACCACCAGGCGCCCCTCCTGCTGCCGCTGTTCGCCCTGCTGCCAGATGCCGCTGTAGCTCCGCTTGCCACCAACCTCTTCTTCACAGCCGTCGATTTGCTGAGCGCGAATGCACTGGCTCGCATCGCCGACACGGGCTTCGCTTCGGCCACGCGCCTGTTCGCCTCGCCGCGCAAAGACCTGCGATGGAGTAGTGCAGCCATTGCAGCCGGGTACGCAGTGCGCTTCGATCCATGACGCATGCGCTGACACATGACCAGCTTTCTGTTTAATCCCTTTACCGTTGCTACGTGCATTGCCCGCTCCACCTCGGCGCTGACCAACCTCTTCATCCTGACGGCCATGGCCAAGGCCTCGCACGGCGCGAGCTTCACATTCATTCTGGCCACGGCCTTTGCCTCGTACTTTGCCATGCACCCGATTCTCCTCTTCCCGCCCCTGATGGTCTTGCTATATGACGCGAAAGCGCTAAAGAACAAAACCACCCCACAAGTCTCGACGTTTGTCGTTGTGCATACCCTTGGTCTGGCCGTCGCAATTGGTGCCTTGTTGTTTGGCTCCGCCTTTCTGACCGGCTCCTGGGACTTTTTGTCGGCGACATACGGTGTGCGTCTTCTGCTGCCAGATCTGACGCCCAATGTGGGTCTGTGGTGGTACTTTTTTATTGAGATGTTCGACTCTTTCCGCGAGTTTTTCCTGGGCGTCTTTTGGCTGCATGCAGCCTCATACATGCCAGGCCTTACCATTCGCCTCCATAAGCAGCCTCTGTTTGTTGCTTGCGCCCTGACTGGCGTCTTTGCCATCTTTACCCCATACCCCAGCATAGCCGATGCTGGACTGTACCTATCGTTGGTGCCCATGTTCCGACATCTATTCCCTCGTAAGTGCCAAGCCAGGCCAGGACATGCGACCAGCCTACTGACTAAACCCTAGTTATGCGCTACACATTTTTAGCATCAGCGAGCATTCTGTATACCTCTTTCCTTGGCCCTGCCTTTTACCATCTGTGGGTATATGCCGGCTCGGGCAACGCAAATTTCTTCTATGCCATTACCCTGGTCTGGAGTCTGGGTCTTTCCATCATCTTGGGAGATTCAATGTATGCAGCTTTGAGGGACGAGCTAGATGTGGAACGTCCAGAGCTTCAAGGCAAGGAAGTTCGTCGGATATGAAAGCATCATTGTAGGCTACGCATCAACGTGCACACACGCGACAATAAAACTACATCATGTGCATTTCTGTTCCTCAGTTCAAGCTATGCAGTGCGTGCTGAGACTGGCCATGGTTGACGTCACCAACATGTCTCGGTTGCATGTAAAGCAAGACATCACCTTCACTCCTATCCATTAGGCAGACTCGTTCACTCGACTCGTTTCCTCACTAACTTGGAAAGTCCCTCTAAATGCGGGGTTAAGCGATCCCTTGTTGCCTAAGAAGACTCTCCCTAGGTGCTCTCACTGTGAACCTTAGCGCAACCAAAGCCTTACCTTCACTTCTCATTCTAACGTTCTTGGGCCTTCCATGTAACACCATATAAATAGGGTGCCTTCCCCTCTTTACCTCCATCTCCCCACCACTCCTCTGTCACAGCCTCGTCTTCTACTACCACCACTTCTTCATCTACCATCAACACCACCATCAACAACCATGCCTGGTATTAAAGAAGTCACTTTCTCCGCACGCGAAATGGAAGTGCTCGCACTGGCATGGCAGTGCATGGAGACGCCGCCCAAGGTACGTACACATCACCACCTATGATTCCCTTTTCCTTGTCCCCTTTGCAGCACTAATCCCACGCTCGAGCAGATCGACATGGTCAAGCTTGCTGCTCTGACGGGCTACACGCCTGGCAGCGCGAGCGTCACCCTCGGCAACATCAAGCGCAAGATTAAACTCGTGGGCGACTCGGCGGCTGCAGATGCGTCTGCGGCTAGTCTTCCTGCGCCTACTGCGCCTACGTCTACGCCGAGGAAGCGCAAGACCAAGAACCCGCTCGAGAACAAGTCGCCGACAAAGTCCGCCAAGAAGAGCAGCCCGGCTGCTGATGCTCGTTCGCCGTCTGCTTCTTCTTCTTCTTCTGCTGCTGCTGCTGCTGCTGCTCCTATGGACCCAGACGACGAGGATCTCGACGACGTTGTTGCAGTCAAGAAGGAGGAGCCCATGTTCTAAGCCGACATTTTGACTTGGCAATGGGTTTCTCGACGATATTGACATGGTAGATGCGTTCACTTCTGACAGTTCAACATCATCATGACGGAGAGCGTTTGGAGGAACCACGCACGGATATGGTCATGTATGGCTTTTCAAAGCCTTTCTTTTCTCAGCCGGAATTTGGAAATGTCATCTCCTTCTGCACTCGATGCATACTCAGAGACCATGCAAACAATCAGCCTTCATTACGCTAATAATATACACACCACATGGTTACCCATCACACCTTGATCTACATTGCGCCCTTGTTTGATTTTACACACGCCCCGCAATACCATTGCCTACTCAGAGCGCTGAAATAGCCTCGAGTAGTACATCCATGGCCCTCTCTCCCACTCCTTCCAGCCCCTCCCTGAGCGCCCACGAAACATCGCTCTGGAGACCCAGTGGCACATACACGCCACCCTCTTCCTTGTTTACCTCCATCCTCTCTCCCAGTCTACTTGTGTGTTCCCACGCTTTAGCCGCCTTCTCTGCATCTTCAATCACCTTGCTTGGAATGCCGCACATGGCAGCGCAGTGCATACCAAAGCTGCCCTCGGCAACGCCTTCTTCAAGCTTGTAGAGAAAGGTAATCGACTTGGACGCATCGTCGACGTGAATCCGCATACGCTTGTTTTGCACTTCGGGGTGGAACTCAAACTCCTTGGCTAGCGAGCGGTAGTGCGTCGCAAAGAAGCCCACGCAGCCGACCCTCGTTGCAATGTCGTGAAGGACGGCTTGTGCAACCGCCACACCATCGTAAGACGATGTGCCACGGCCGAGTTCATCGAGAATGACCAGCGACCTGGGCGTAGCTTCCGATAGAATTTTTTGCGTTTCCGAGAGCTCAACGAAAAAGGTAGACTGGGCGGCAAAAATGTTGTCGTTGGCTCCCAGACGAGACATGATGCGGTCGACGGGTGTGAGCCTGGCCGAAGTACACGGTAGGTAGCAGCCGACTTGGGCGAGGATGACAGCTATGCATGTCATGCGCAAGATGGTCGATTTACCCGCAGCGTTGGCGCCAGTAAGCAGGCTGATGTTGGAGGCATCACCGCCCAGCTTAATGTCATTGGGAATAAAGTCATCGACAGTGTTGAGCATGCACGGGTGGCGAAGCTCCTCAAATTCAACAACAGTGCGGTCACCCTCTACAAAGACAGGACGGCAACTGGGCTCTCCCAGCGAAGCAGACGCCTTTGCAAGACTAATGAGGCAGTCGAGCTGGGCAATGATCTTGACAGCCGCGAGCCAGGTCTTGTAGTCCTCGTCGAAGCGTTGGCAGAAGCGACTGGCAACCTCGCGAGTAATCTGACCATGAGTCTCTTGGGCTTCTTGCAATGCCCGGACCAGCTTCCGCAACTCGGGCGTGTAGTAGCGTGTGACCTTTGCTGTAGACGACATTTGGTCCCAGCTCTTTGGAACCTTGACCTTCTTTGGCACTTCCAACTGGTAGATTTCCTTTCCGAGGTGGTTGTAAATGATTGAGTTGGAACCGAGCTCTTTGCGTACGTTTTTCAACAGTGTCTCGAGATTAGCCTCGCAGTTGTCAATTTCTGCCTGGCTGTTATCATAATCTTCTTCAACACCAGCTTCAGGGATAAGAATGCCGTCCTTCCTTGCAGCAACACGGTCAAAAGCCGACTTCCACTTCTCGAGACACGCTGCAAGATCCGGCATTGACGAGATGAGCTGGCCAATAACACCCTCTCCATCGCTAAACTGCTTGAGCAAGCTGACAGTGTATTCAATTTGTTCAAAGCCCTCCAAGACCTTGAGGAAGTCTTGTGCCCGGCAACGGCCAGCATGTACACGTGAAATGAGGCGCTCAAGATCCGGCAGCTTACTCAATGAACCGCTAAAGTTCTCCATGATAGATGAGTCCTTGTTCAGAGCATCCACGGCATCAAGGCGGGCATTGATCTTCTGTGCGTCTGCCAACGGATGACAAACCCATTGCCGCAGCAACCGCTTGCCAAAAGGTGTGATGCACCGGTTCAACATGGCGAAGAGGGTACCTTCAGTCGCTCCGTCAAACGTGTTGGCGAATATCTCCAGGTTGATCAGGCTTTGCCCATCGAGCACCAGGCTAGTGGCTTTGCGAATGGGGTCGTACCACTGGATGTTGCCCAGCGTTACGAGATCGCGCTCAATCATCAATGTTCGCAGGTACTGGACAAGAGCGCCGAATGCGGACATGACCAGCTCTTTTTCGCGAGCTTCGCGTAAGACTGGTGGCCATGCCTCAATATTATCTCCTGTTTGCGACTCGAAGTAATTGCTAGCCTCGAGTTCTCGGATGGTGACATCAGCTGACCAAAATTCCTTGTTCAACTTCAACCAGTTCCAGATGGTTGTTGGCCCAGTGTTATTCTTCAAAATGCGCAGTGCCTTTGCAGAAACGCACGACTTTTCCAGGAGCAGCTCACCAGGCCTCATTTGTGCAATAAGGGTCTCGAACTTGGTCATGTCGACATCGTCGGTGAACTCGCAAAGTTGAAATTGTGCTGTTGCAGTATCGACAAACGCAATACCGAAAGCCGGCAAGTTATCCCGATCAATCTCTTTGATGGCCATGCAGTACGTCGACATCTCGCTTTGGAGCATGCCGGTGTCGACGAGGGTGCCGGACGTCAGGACAGTGGCCAGTTCTCGGCGAATGACCTCCTTGCCCTTCTTCTCCTGTTTCTTTGGGGTTTTGCCTTTGTCGTCACGTTCGCGCATCTCTTTACCAAGAGCAGATTCCATCTGGTCGACCCTAGCAACTTTGTAGCCAGCGGCAACAAACTGTGTCGCCCACATATCCAGGGAGGCTTCTGGCACACCAACCATCCTCATGTTGACACGATCGGTCAGCTTGAGATCGAAGAGCTGATGTCCAATTGACGCATCCTTCTCATAGAGCTCATAGAATTTTCCTTTCTTGAAGAAGACGACAGTGTCCCACCACTTGCTTTTAATCTCCCAATACTGCTTTTCAAAAGGCGAAAACTCACGCCACGCAGCGGGTGGGATGAACAATGTACGGGGATCGTAGTCAGGATGGTCGGGTGCATGGCGATCGGCGTCTTGCATGTTGGCTAGCCATGGATATCTTGCTTCTGGCTCAGAGGCAGAGGGCTTCGCTTTTGTCCTTACACTCATTTCCTTCTTCAGGGACGGAACTGCTTGTCGTGGCTTGAACACCGTGGGGTTCTCAGGGTCGTACACCCATTGTTGTGCTGTGGATGTGCTGGTCATGACGATGTCGCCTTCATCTTCATCGTCCTGATCTTTGAGAACTGGCGGTGATGATGCTGGCGAGGTTTTGGCGCGGGGCTTTGTAGATGTAGGACGTTTGCGTTTCTTGGACACAACTTCTTCCTCGGAATCATCGGGCACTATGAAGTCGTCTACATCATCTTCCTCGTCTTCAAGCATTGCCCTTTGCGTGGCAGCATCCAAGCCGAACTCGTCGTCGGAATCGTCGTCAACAACCACTCGCTGACGCTTTGTAGCCCGGCCTCTCGCGTTGTTTGCAATGGGACCCAGAACGTCGTCGTCTTCGTCGGACTCGGCATAGTTGACGGGCTTTCTGGCCTGATGGCAGATGTTAGCTGATGAATTACGGCCACGCAATGGTGTGTCTCGCGTACTTTGCGTGTCGGGCTGCTCGGGGTGATATCGGCAGGCTCTGGCAAAATAGAGTTAGTTGGTAGATTTAGCGGTCTGGCAGTCGAGGACGGACCATTCTCCTTATTTCTTCCTACCGTGAGCTCTCGGTCTTGTTTGATAGGGCTCGAGTAATCCGGGGCGTCGCTGCTGGGAACCGGGGTGATGGCCGCAGAGGGTTGGGTTAAGGCCTTTGTGGCAATTGTCGAAGTGGGTGTTTTTTGGGCTGGTGTGACATGGGACGGCGCGGGGCTTGGTGAATTGGTCGACTTCTTCTGGAAGAAACCTAGAATCGACCTCTGCCCCTTGGCGGACTGCGATGCAGACGCAGGCTGCTTCTTCTGTGACGGGCGAGGCGTTGCCATTTCGTTTCCTTCGACGCCGCGAGCCATTGTGCTGGTGACGTGTGGGTGTTGGGAGTGGCAATGGAAAGCGATATTCACGGTTGCGGCGGCCGGACTCTGGGGAAAGAGGGAACGCGTCGACGCGTCGCGCTAGTCTGCATTGGCTCGTTGATTGGCTTAACTAGCCCCACCACAAAGTGCGCGCGACCACAAAGTGCGCGCGCGCCTTACAACCACCTCAACCTCAACGCGTCGTATCCCCACCACCATGGCTAATATTGAGGCTGCGCTTGCAGCTATTAATGCCCTAGGACCTGATGAGCCTTTTTCGTATACAGATATTGCAAAAAAATATAGTGTTGTTCGATCTACGCTTACCCGAAGACACCAAGGCCTACACGCCTCACGCGCGATAGGTGGCCAAAAACGGCAGCTCCTCCACCCACAGCAGGAGCAGGCCCTAATCGCCTATATCAATCGACTAACAGATAGAGGCTTACCACCTACTCAGCCAATGATACGCAATTTTGCCTCACAGATCGCCAAGACTGAGGTTGGAGTACACTAGGCTAGTCGCTTCGTCCAGCGCTATCCTGATCAACTTACCTCAAGGTAGGCAAAAGGCCTTAATAACTGTCGCCACAAAGCAGATTCAAGAAGCAAATACAACCTCTA